GAATGGCCTCCTCTCGTTTGTATAGTTCTTATGTTCTTATGTTCTTATGAATTGTCTGTAGACAGGATTGTATCGAGGCACAGATCTGGGGAAGGTTACAGAAAAAAATCTGCGGCATTGAAGGTCCCAATGAACACAGCGGCCTCCATCATCCATAAATGGAAGAAGTTTGGAATCACCAGGACGCTTCCTAGAGCTGGTCGCTGGCCAATCTGAGCGATCAGGGTAGAAGGGCCTTAATCAGGGAGGTGACCAAAAACACGATGGTCACTCTGACAGAGCTCCAGCATTGCTCTGTGGAGAGAGGAGAATCTTCCAGAAAGAGAACCATTTCTGCAGCACTCCACCAATCAGGCCTGTATGGTAGAGTGGCCAGACGGAGGCCACTCCCCAGTAAAAGGCACATGACACCATGCCTGGAGTTTGCCAAAAGGCACCTGAAGGACTCGGACCATGAGAAACAAAACTCTCTGGCCTGATGAAGTGGATTGAACTATTGGGCCTGAATGGCAAGCGTGATGTCTGGAGGAAAGCAGGCACCGTTCATCACCTGGCCGATACCATCCCTACAGTGAAGCATGGTGGTGGCAGCATCATGCTGTGGGGATGTTTTTCAGCAGCAGGAACTGGGAGACTAGTCAGGATAGAGGGAAAGATGAATGCAGCAAAGTACAGAGACGTCCTTGATGATAACCTGCTCCAGAGTGCTCTGGACCTCGGACTGGGGCAAAGGTTCACCTTCCAACAGGACAACGACCCTAAGCACACAGCCAAGATAATGAAGGACTGGCTTCGGGACTCTAATGTCCTTGATTGGCCCAGACTTGAACCCGATTGAACATCTCTGTTGAGATCTGAATATGGCTGTGCACCGATACTCCCCATCCAACCTGATGGGACTTGAGAGGTTCTGCAAAGAAGAACGAGAGAAACTGCCCAGAAATAGGTGGCCAAGCTTGGAGCATCATACTGAAAGACTTGAGGCTGTAATTGCTGCCAAAGGTGCTTCAACAAAGTATTGCGCAAAAGCTGTGAATAGTTATGTACATGCTATATTTGTTTATTATTGTGTTATATTGTGTAAGTTTAAAATAAACTTTTTTTTCACTTTGTCATTATGGGGTTTTGTGTGTAGAATTTTGAGGTTAAATGAATTTAATCCATTTTGGAATAAGGCTGTAACATAAAAAGTGGAAAAAAATAAGTGTTGTAAATACTTCCCGGATGCCCTATATACTACTGAGAAGCTTTCACACACACTAGTGAAATGTGCTCATGAGAGGACATTTTTCAGCCATGTATGTAAGTATGTTTTACGTGTGTGTGTGAGAGAGAGAGAGAGAGAGAGAGAGAGAGAGAGAGCTTTCCAGTAATATGTGTAAAAGGTTTTTATGAGAGCTTTTCAATTTGTATGTGAATATTTCAGTAGTGTATGTAAAACCCTTTCACTTTAATGCGTGTGAGGTTTTCAGTATAGTATGTGAATGACTTTGGTTTCATAGGTGTGTGTGAAAGGAAACTTTTCAGTTGTGTAAGCACATTTTACTAGTGTGTGTGTGTGTGTGAAAGCTTTTCAGTAGTATATGTAAAAGGTTTCACTAGCTGTTAGTATTTCAGTTGTGTATGTAAAAGCTTTCACTTGGTTGTGTGTGTGGTTTTCAGTATAGTATGTGAATAAGTTTGGTTTCATATATGTATATCCATGGTAATTCTGAATAATGTCCCTGACAGCCCTTCATAAACCTGAACCCTTTTCGCCCTAAGTATGAAATAGTTTCCTTAGATCGTTCTCCCTTGAAACACTATTCTGGCAGACGTCTCTAACCAAACCGACAGTTTACAGGGGTATAACTTGTGAATTTCACGTAAGTGCCTCGAAGCGGCATAATTTCGAATATAATCCTCTTAAAATCCGTTCAATTATGACAACAATGGCTACAGTTTTCCGCGATTATACAGAAATGAAAGAATGAATGAAAATATTTTGTGTCGGTGTATATTTAAAGCGCGTTAAAGTCACTGCCGGCTTCTGATTGGACGCCGTGAGGAGCGTGTCAATTCGGCAAGATGGCGGCGACCTTGTTGAAGGCGTGCTGTTCTCCGCTGCCCGTTTCAGCTGGGCGTCGTGTCAGGTACCTACAAATTTCAAAAAAGGCACACAGTAATGACTTCCTGCCTAGAAAGCCCTCCTATAAGCGACTGTGTGCGCTTTCATATATACATCGAAGAAAAACAAGTTATCGATCTATAATTTACAGTATTTGCAGTTGTGCTTGTTCACGTTGCTTTTTAGCATGTTAAACGTAATGACTGCAAATATTAACTTAATATTGGCAAAATGTTTGTTTGGCGTTTTAAAAATATGTCATAAAACTCAGTTTTTAATCAAAGGCTTAACCTGCATGACTACCTTTCTGCTAAGCTAACTTAACTCCATAGTAACAATCAAAAGTGTAACTGAAGTCCTTTCCGGAGCTAAACGGCCTAAGTACGTATGGAACAATTGCTCTGCAGCAATTAGCAAGTGTGGTAATGTTTTGTGTGAAATTTACTTCTGGTAAATCTGTTGCTAAATCTTCTGACCAAAGCGTTAATGCATTTTGTTAATTCTCGTATTCCGTATGTGACGTGACGTTTATTTGCTCTTTCCATAGTTGTTGTTAACCATTGTTGGTCAGAAGGATCTGTAGAGGGGAAGGTTAACGTCAACCTGTTAGTTAAATACGTGTTCTGTTAAAGGTTAATGTTTCATCCACATGAGAAGGGATCAACTGGAGACCTGGAAAGGCAGGCTGTCATTCCTGCTGTCATTCCTCTGCACGTCGTAAGATAATGTTATATGGTATTATTTTGCGTGTCTGAACAATTTCTATGCCCCCCCAGCTGTTTGCTTTTTCATGCTGGTGCACGAGCGATCAGGCCGGATCAGCAGGCCCCATGGCGTACTTTGTCAAGTGGTAAGTGTAATCATTTTTCTTTTTCTTTTTTTGCTTTACTCCCATCGGAACCTTGTACAATGCCAAATCATCTTCCTTATGGGGTGGAAACCCCTATGATGCGGAACACATAATTTTATTTTGCAATACGGAACAATCACATAATATAAGTGATGGGTGGCACCTCTGCCTCCACCCATTTTTACATACACGTTTCCAGTTGATTTTAAATTTCCATTTAGTTCTAGAAGAGTGTGCTGTGTGTAGCACTGTAGACTCACACCTCCAGTATGGGGGTTTCAAGTCCAGTCACGTGTGTGTGTGTGTGTGTGTGTGTGTGTGGGGGGGGGGGGGGTTTGCATGTTCTCTGTATGTGGTGTGGGACTCCTCTGTGTACTTTGTTTTCCTCCCACTGTCTGAAATCTGTGCTGTTGCCCTACTTACGGTCTCTAAATTGCCCTTAGTGTCTGATTGTGTGTGTGTGTATGTGTGTGTATGTGTGTGTCTGCCCTGCTGTGGACTAGCAGCACTTCCAGGCTGTACTCCTGTCGTTCCCTATGCTGCCTGGCATTGACTCCAGCCCGACCCCCCCCAGTCCTTCTTGGGGTTAGAAAATGCATGGATTTGATGTCTCCTTTTCAGTCACTGTCTTTTTAACACTAACTCTCATTGTGTTTCCCACAGGGCGTCGGCGCCTCAGTGCTGCCGCCCTTGGTTTGGGGCCCCGAGTTCGCCCACTGCACCTCCTTCTGGCCACCGGGGGGGGCTACCTGAGCTATGACCAGTACGGGCGTTACAAGGATCGACAGCTGGAGAGCATGGGGATCGAGGCACCCCCGCGGCTTGCCAACAAGACCCAGGTAGGGATCCCCACTGCCATGGCATCGTGCCCCACCACCCCAGGGTCTTCATGAATCCTGATCCATCGCTCCTTCGACACCAATATTCAATAATAACAATTAAAGGCTGAGTGGTGTTTGAGGAGGGGATTGGGCTCCGTCGCCTTGACTCTTTCTAAGGTGAAAGGATATCGGAGGGAAAAACAAAAGACTCTGGATGCTGGGATGGATTGCGTGCGGATGCCGGCGCGTGTGTTGTGAGTGTGCGTGAGTCCGTTTGTGTGCCTCTCCCCCTGTCAGCTTCCCTGCATGTATTTGTCTATGAATTTGTATTCTCCTAACTCTGCCTGCTTACTGGAATCTTTATTTTCATCAATATGTGCCCATCAGTATGTCTGAGAATGAGTAAGCAGTGCGTCGATTGTCTTTAGACTCTGAGATTGTTGAAAGCCCTGTTTTCATAAACAGAGGATGGTAAGGAAGGTGATTCTGAGTTATCGACCGAGGACTAATCTGTCCTTAAAGAGTTTGAAGAGCTGAAACGGGGAGGGGGGAGTCCAATATCATCCATCCAGGGTGTATAAGAGTTGTGTGTGTGAAGAAGCAGCTCTTCCTGTCGCAGTTTTAACAGCTTCTGATACACGTGTCATTATGGTTACCCTCTTAAAAAGTGTAGTAATGTTACTTTCGTGTGCGGGTTGCAAAAGACGGTCTGATGTTTTCTTTTGCTGGATTCACCGGTGCCTGGATAAACAGCCGTTTCTAGCCAAACTGGTCGCCAGCCACAATGTGTGAGATGACTCTTGTTTCGGAAAAAGGTCACCGCGTCCAGCGTGGCTGCTTCTGCTTGTCACTTGCTCCCCCCCCCCACCCCACACACATCCACTGTCGGAAGTAAGACCATCGTGCCACCAGAGTGTCATTCTCTTCCATGTCGGTACTTATTAATAAGATCCCCAAAAATGGTTTTGACAACATCACCCTTCCCCGCCTACCCCCACAGATGCCATGCGGTCGGGGGGGGGGGTAGCAATGTCAAGGCAATCTGAGTGATTTGGCATTGTCCAAAGTCCTGAGGGGGGGCTGGCATGCCACACATGTAACTGCGGGGAGAGCACTGCCCTGGGACGTGACTGAAGTTACACGCTGGCCCATCTCTGTTTTGTTTTTGTTTTTTTTGTGTGTGTCTGATAGTGGCGAGATATTAAAGGCAGAATTTCATATGGGGGGGGGGGCATGAAGATAATTGTCCTACAGTTTAATGCATGTGCATTAAATGACTTTGGTTTGCAGAAGAAGAACCAGAAGCACAGTTTCCGTTTGCACAATCCTGCTCTTCAGCTCAATCCCACAGTGAGAATGGAAAGTGAAATGCTTTTTCTTTCATACTTTGTTCGCATTACATCATGGCTGCGCCTCAGGTCTTATTATGTATAGCGTATCAGCTTAAAAAGCTAACGGTGAAGAAGTTACCGTCTGTCTACTTACACAAACCTTGTGTAGAAACAGGAAAACTCTTGGCTGACTGAAGGTTTTTTTTTTTTTTCTTTCTTTCTTTTTTTCTCCCCCGAGGAAGAATTCTTCTATGGGGTGACTTTACCCAGGAGGCTTTGTTTCGGTAATGTGACATCATTGCTCTTCAATCTGCCCGCCTCCCCAGTCTTAAAGGGGATTTACATCTTCCCCATTGTACTTCGTTTCTGTATAATACAGAACTGGAGGGCCTGTGCCTTTAACTAGTTTTGAAAAATACTAGAAACTTCCCAATATACCGCTCACTGCTCACTTTGTTTAAGGGACTTAAGGAGAGGCACTTTCTGAGTTTGTATTACTTGTAACTGACATGCGGTGTGTGTGTGTGTGTGTGTGTTACTTCTGAAGTAAAATACTTGAGGTGAGTTTTTTTTTGTATTCTAGTTTTCACCACAGACCGTTAAATGTCTATCTGAATTTCTATGCGTATAGTTTATTTAAACTATGTTGCTTTTTTTTTAAGATTATTACAGGGTTACAACAATAAACAGCCTGTTTCTAGGATTCTCATGATGTTATAGTTGGCCATGTCATGTTTTCACGGTAATTCATAACCATAATTAGTTTTTTCTGGTTTTTTAGTTAATTTTCTTTGTGTAAGAGTCACTGTGTTTAAACCACTAAAGAGCTTTTAGGAGAGGAAACATGTGATGTCACTTTTCCTGTGTCAGTCATGGTGAGAGATCCCTCATTCACTGTCGTCACTGAGTTCAGCAGACAGTTACTCATGCTTTGGTGGTTTTTTACAGATTGTTTCATTTCCGATCATTAGTTTAGACATCTTCATAAGAAAAAGCGCATCGGCTTGTAATACACTACCCTGCTGTTTATTTTGGCAGATATGCAGTCTAGTTAATTACATTCTCACACCCACATATTGTAATTTTAAAATCACCTTTTTTAATCTCTCAGAATTTATTTTGCAGTTATAGTTGTATGTGTGTGTGTGTATACATTAGAATGTACACTGGCAGGTTCAATTATTTACGCCTGCGTTTTTAATAAATATTACTATTTCACTATTTTAAGATTAAAGACCAATGTTTTTCGTTGGTGATTATCAAAGTAACAAAATAGTTTCTGATCATGATAATTATATGTGAAGTTACAAGAGGCATTTCCTTATTTTTATCAATAATAACAACAATTACTAGCCATTATAATCACATTTAATGTGATTACTGCATATGTATTATAATTTTAGCCTCACGTTCATCAGCTTTATTTATACTAATTGAATCTGTTAATGTTTCCTCATTCATTTCTGATTGTTTCATTTTAATAATCTGGCCACATGACACTCAAGGTCATCCCTCGCTCCATCAGCTCCTGGTTTATACCTGGTAATCCTGTGTGTTTTCCCTACTTTTTTAAGCCCTTTAAAAACACTCGGCAATAATAAGTTTTGCCGGGTTTTTAGTTATTTATTGTTATTTTAGTATTTATTTATTTTGAGAGAGTTGTGCAGCTGAGCTTGTTTGTTTGTGGTACGAAAACAAACAGTGTGCCGGTGCAGCACAGCCCCTGGTCCCTGGGGGGCGACGATGAGCCAACGGCCGGCCGGCCCGGCGAGTCGAAATGATGAGATTGTTTCTCTCCACAAAGCTGCCCGTGACCCGCTCCTCTCCTCCCTTCTCCGCGGACGACATCGGAAAAGCAGAGGACAATTGCCACCCCTCTTGCACCCCCCCCTCTCGCGACCCCAGCACTGCTGCAGAATCGCCTGGACAAAAGGAGCCTGAGTGGCCCGGGCTGAGGAGTAGGAGGAGCAGAGAGGAGGAGCAGGGAGCGGAGGCGCCACCCAAGGGCCCACGTCACGTCCGGCGGGGGGGCTGAGGCTGAGCAGGGCGGCCGAGCGGCGCTCAGACGGGGGGAGAGACTCGCAGTGAGAGGTGGAGGGGCGCAGAGAGCGAGCGAGCCCAGGGATCATGTGTCAGTGGAGCGTACAGCAGCAGCAGCAGCAGCAGCCGCCCGCGCGGAGCCCGGGGAAATGGTGAGATGCTGCAGGTCTTTGCATAGCCCGTCGCCGTGCTTCAATCTGCACCGGGTGCGAGTTGATGTGCGCAGGCTGCGGCTGCTCAGCTCCAGGGCAGCGGGGGCGGAGCAGGGGCCCGGCGGCAGCGGCGGGGCCGGCCAGGGCGTCTCGGGGGTCCCCGCCCTCAGCCACAGGACCCGATTCAGGTATGGCGGGGCGCGCCACCCGCGGAGAGAGAGAGAGAGAGAGCATGAGAGAGAGAGAGAGAGAGATCCGAGTGACAGTGTATTTCAGCAGAACGGGAGCTGGTAGGGGCGGGAATATCAAGCATACGTGTTGACACTGAGGTGGGGGGGGGATTAAGCAGGCAGGCAGGCAGAGATGACTGCATTTCTGCTGTGCGTGTGCACCCACCTTTTCAAAGCGCTTCTGCAGATCTGTCTCATTTTCTGCCCCCTGCCTCTGGCTGCCAGGAACAGGGGTAACGCAGTACAAAGCCTCCACTGAACGCCGGCAGCTCGGCCTGATCTGTCAGAGAGGCCACCCCCTCCCCCACCCACCCCCTCCCCCATCCCCGCCTCCTGGCTCATCCCCCCCCCGGGGTGGTGTTGACCTGCTGTTTTTTTTTCTTCTTTTTTTTTCTTTTTCTGTGGCACATTGTTCTGAGGATGTGCAGGATACGAGCAAGAAACTGGGGGAGACTCAGTGATTGGCCAGTGTTTCCCTGCAATGAAAATGTAAGGGGGGGTGGATAAGTATGTGTGTGTGTGTGTGTGAGAGAGAGAGAGTGAGAGAGGGGGGAAGAGCTTGATATAGAACAGAAACAGAAGGGACATCGTTTCTTGTTGCCATCTTTTCTGTTTGTTTGCATCGTTAATGCAGAGAGCAGAAGGGGTGGGGGGGGCTTGTATTTGTGTACAGGTCAGTGGCTTGCATTTCTGCACTAAAAATTTTTTGTGGATTTTGAAATGGATGGGAGACAGTTCCAGTGTAGGCAGTGATGCAGTGTCACACTGCGACGACACGGGGAGCCCCCAGGGTGCCGCTGCAATCGCAACTGGGGCAGTCGAGTGGAACTCAGCTGCGGCATTGCGGGTCTGGTCCCTCAGGGCCGTGTCTGTCTCCCTGAAACCCCGCTGAATGAAGCTCAGTTGGCTCCGCCGGTGCCACCCCCCCCCCCCCCCTTCCCGGGGGATACTTGGCTGTCCCTGTGGCGGTGGCACCGTGCCAGGCCCCCCCGGGTAACCACCGGCATCCACAAAGGGGCCGTCACCAGCCAGTGGCGTTCAGCACGTCTGTCATCAGACTCACATTTTGTGGAGATGCGTTTCCCTCTGGTGTCTATTAATAACCGGCGAGTAAGTGGAGCCTTTGCATTTCAGACTTAGTCTGATATTGTTGTTCAGTTTATTCAGTTTATCAAAAATGCACTTTAATAAAGTACAAAATTCCCTTTACATATTTATAACCGTTTCAAGTAAAAATTCACTGGTCAATTTTCGTTCCTTCATTATTTTACTTGCTATCAGTACTCCTATATGCATATGCACTTCAAAAGTGGATTTTTAAATATAGCAACACATAGTTGTTGGGATCGATGTGTAATTGTTGTTGTTAATGTTTTATTAAACTTGACAGTGTGGCGGTGTTTGATCGCGATAAGCAGCGAAGCATTACAGAGCGGTAACTAATTAAACATGTCGGTAGGCTGGCTAATGTCTTCATTAAGAATAACAGGCATTGATGTTACCTTAATCGTATTGATAGGTGAATATCTATTTAGACTGTTTGTCTTTCATCTTCCCGATGCTTTTTCCTGATGGATGTGGGCCACAGCTCCTGTCCCACTTGATTTATTTATTTTTGTTCATTTCTGAATATATTGTGTCTCTTCCTCAAGTGCCATGAATCGAAATTAGAATTGAGCTTGGAAAGGCCAATTTAAGTGTTAATTAATGCAGGCATAATCTGCACTACACTGTAATGAGCTTTGGAGAAAAAACTAAAATTGACAAGTGGTAGACTGGATGAGATGAAAGAGAATTATCTCATGCATATGGAGAGTGCAGGAAGTGATGTGGCTCAGTTTTTGTAGCTGTACAGCCACTGACGACTACGAGATACACCAGGTGTTGTATATGTTTGTATTTAAGTGATGTCATGGATACCATGAGAGATGTGTAAACATGATCGTGCGTCCAAATGGAGTGCTTCATGGTTCCGGCAGAGCAGTGAATCTTCGTGGCATCCGGACTGGTTACATCCCTCTCCTTCAGCCTGGGGGGGCCGAGATCCGGTCATTCACGCCAAGGCTGCAGCTGGGTCAGGGTTTCCCGATTCCAGCCCAAGTACTTCCCCAAAAAAATTGCGCAATATGGCTTGAAACCAGCACAAAATGTGTTGGTGGTACAGGATACCTGATACTGCAGTGGGTTTATGCAGTAGCTGAAGCATCTGAGCTGAATGTAAAGCTTTTCAGTGACAACAAAACTCCAGAACTCTGCAAATACAGACACTCTGGCCAGCAGAACAATCGCCTTCCTTCGCGGTTCCAAACTGCAGGATCATTGTTGCTATTTCATTGCAGGAAAACCAAAATAATCCTGCTAAAGTTTGACGGAATATTCATTGTGACAGTCTACTGTGAAGGTGAGGGAGGTACCCATATTCGGGGTCCAATTCTCTGCCCATCTAAATATCTCTGCACATGCTTGTCATAGACACACTGTCTGTATGTGTTGCCATAGAGCCAAGGTCTGTTCACCACATTTCATTTTGATCATTCTGGTTTAATACAAAAATTCTTATTTCTGGCCACGGACTATTTTTGAACTAACCCCAAAAAAAATTCTCCATCCTCAGATTTATTTTTTTAAATTCCTGAATCCCTGTTTCTGAAGTAGCCTGATTCGGTGTGAGACCCGTGCACCATTGGTGACCCTGGACGTAGCAGAAGTAGCCTGATTCGGTGTGAGACCCGTGCACCATTGGTGACCCTGGACGTAGCAGAAGTAGCCTGATTCGGTGTGAGACCCGTGCACCATTGGTGACCCTGGACCTAGCAGAAGTAGTCTGATGATCCGTCTGGTCAAAGCGGAAAAAACAATGACCGTTCACTTTTTTGGACAGGAAGTGAGCCGGCTGCATCTTGAAACATTCAGCATGCTCGTGCGCGTGTTCTGGTTCCTAGGGTGTATACATGCCCGCCCCCCCCAAAGCAGTAAGGCACGAATGGCCAGGTTTCCTTGACAAGACGGCAACCGCTAAAGGTCATCACCTAGCATCAGGCAGAGCGCTCGCTGTTCTGTGACTGTTCGCAGTATAACCCCGTCTGGAGTAGCTTACCGCATGTTTAAAGTCAGCGTAAGGGCACTTTTTAATAACATAAATTTTACTGGGTGGATTTATTACACGTCGTTCTTCTGCCTTAGGACTTAGTCCCTCAGGAGGGCAAATAAATCGTTGCTAAGCAACAGGAAATCTATTTTGCTGTGGCTAGCTAGGGTGGACTGCAGCCGATCACCTAACACTACTAGAGGAGTAACGGCTGTGCTCCTTTGAACTTTTTTCTTCTGAATTATTCAGGAATGAGCGATGCTGTTTTGCCGCGCTCCCCGTCAGCGATGACCCGAGTGTCCCGTTGGTTGTCTTTGGATTCTCCTCGTTCAGTGATTTTTGGATTCGTTTCCCTAGCCCGGTGTTTCCCACTCTCGTCCTCGGGGACCCAGAGTCGGTCCATGTCTTTGCTCCCTACCAGACAGTCCACATTTTTGTTCCCTGAGGACTGGATTGGGGAACACTGCCCTAGCCTATAAAAATGCATTGTAAAGTCTTTGTGCTGAGGCGCTGTGGAGGCGCTGATTTATGCATCTGTGTGATATGTAGTGACTTGTTTTTTTTCCCGTTACACCCTCATACATACAGAATTATACGGTAGTGGCTAAAGTTGTGGAAACACCTCGCATTTTTAGCATTACGCTTTAAAAATTACCACACTATTATTGGCGGTAATGTTTATAAACGGTCAAAGAATGTTACAAATAACATGCATTAGTCCTTAAAAATGTGTGGTGCTTCAACAGGAACTCACCAATGAGTGGAGATGATCAAGAAGCATGAGGAAGAGGAAACGTTCTAGCAGCATTTTGATTGGTTTAGCTGCCTGTGGTGTGGTTTTGTGAACGGACACGTTGCATGTGTCCGAATCTCCTGCAGCCCAGGCGACAGGACTTCTTATCCCTAAAGATAGCCCTACGGCTACCGTCCACCAGGTGGGCCATGTCCGCTCGGCTAATCGGGCCTGGCTTAGCGCTTCCAGAGGCCAGCATGACCCACTTCCACGGCACGCAGAGGCTAATCCTTCTTTGCCGGGTTGTGGTGTCACCTTGTGTCAATCCCCTCTGACGGCCTTCCTGTCCCCGTGAAGCCTCTGTCTTTGCGAACATGCGTGTAGGGGGCAGGTCACCTTGAATTTACACGTCCTGCATTTTTGCCATCTAACCGCCATCCCCAACTTTGTCCAACAAATGCGTGCTCTGATCACGTGGCTTGTTTTTCGGATCCCGCACCATATTGACGGACATCCTCTTCATCCAGTCAGATCATGTGTTCATCAAAATCCCGCCCCCATCCTCGACTACTTGCAACTACCGAATCAAAAAATGCATCCAAGCAGTTAGGCTAATTACGTAGCACGTCCACTGGCCATGGTATCTCTCTCTCTGTTGAGCAATCTTAGGACTCTTTCATTGCCATGGTCACTCCTGCCTTTGCCGCCGCCCCGCTCTGCCCGCTGCCCTACCCAGCATGCCCTGCCCCTGCATGCACAACCCTGCAGATCAGCCCTGCGCATTCTGTCATGCAAATGCGCTGAGATCGGACTCCAGGGGACCACACTGGAGGCGCAGAGCAAGCCGATGGGGTCGCTGCTGATGTAGCGGCGGTGTGGATGGAAATAGTTTCTGAATAATATTTTTGCTTTAAAAAGTTCCACCTTTGGAAAGAGCTCTCTGCAATAGGGAATGGGGAGGCGTTTGCATAGAGCTGTGATTGCGGGGGGGTGTGGGGGCTGTTCTTTTTTTTTTACAGAGAGCGAATGAGTGGCCTTTGTATTTAGCTCTAATCTCGCCTCTCCATCTCTTTGTCTTTCTGTGGTCCTGTGTATCTGTTTGTCTGCCTTTCTTGCTTGTTTTGTGTTTTAAATTCGTCCGTCTCCGCTCCACACCTGCCGCTTACACACCTGCCTCCCTGTCTGCGTGCGCGTACGTGCCCCTCCCCCTCCCCCTGTCACCTTTGGCACATGTGTGCGCGCGTGGCTGTGCAGGTTGCAGTTCCCCCAGCTGGCCTTGCGGCGGCGCCTGGGCCAGTTGAGCTGCATGTCCCGACCCGCCTTGCGGCTGCGCTCATGGCCGCTGTCCTTCCTCTACTACTTGCTACCCTTCGGAGTCCTCAAACCCTTGGCCAAGGCGGGCTGGCGGCCCACCAGCAGGGTGAGTATTTGAGGTGGGGGGCGGGGTCTTGGGACTGGGGCGGAGTTAAAGCCCCCTGTCGCTGACCCGTGTGTGTGCACGTGTGAGATTGTGAGTGCGTAAGAACTCAGCATCCAGAGTGAGAAGGTCTCCCTCAGATTTTCCTAAAGACGAAGCCCGCTAGTGCGGATGCTCGGTCCCATGTGAGTGGGCCGGGCGTCGATCCATGTCACACCGCTGCTCTATGAGAGGTCCCTTTGTCCCCGAGCCGACGCCAGCGGATCCTTTGTCTGGAGCGAAGCTTTGGAGAAGGCGGCACCAGTATTTTAATGATTTCCGTCGAGTTCCCCCCCCAGCCCAGTTTAAATGTTCTACAATTTTCTGCGTTTAAATATAGCCGACACCTTGGGTGACGTTCCAATTTCAGAGTTTAAAAACCACAAATGGTAACGCTAATGTTATTCTTAAAATACTTACTTTAACGCAAGGCTCTTGAAAACTGAAGTTGAGAGTTCCTACCATCAGGGTGTGTGTGCATTTTTAAAATGTGTCTTGCACTCTATTACTCGACTGGATAATTTATAGGAGCAAAGATCAGCAGCTCTGTATTGGTGAGGGACCCTCTGTTTTCAAGCGGTTTTCATGTTGCACTGCATTGGTTGCTAAGACTTTTTTTATTTTTTATTGTGAAGTAATTGCTGTTTGCAAGCACAATGAAGCCTGGAAGAGTAAAAGGAAACAAATGTTTTAAATATTGCCACTGTCACATGACATTACACAATTTGCTTCACCTGAATCTTTCATTAGTACCAACACCTGGAAAATATGGCGCAGGAACTTTGACTCTTTCGACCACTAGAGGGCAGTAATGACACAAGCCAGAAATGAGCACCTTTTATAATAACCAGTTCACACTTAAACTTGAATGTTCTGTGTTCAATAATCATTTTAAATGAAATATCTAAGTCAATTATTGAACATACAACAGGTGAATTTAAGTCAAGGTTGGGTTACTCTACAAGCTTTATTCCCCATTGGGCATTTTTAACAGTGATTGTAATATTGACTAGGGGTGAGTTTCCCGAAGCGTTCTTAATGCTATGTTGTTCTTAAGTTCTGCGTTAAAAGATAGAACTAACGAACAACATAGCGTTAAGAAGGCTTCGGGAAACTCACCCCAGATCTACACAGATTAGCCGTTGATGGGTTCGGTTCTTTGTGCCAGGGATTGTCTTCTTGGTGTTTCCTTCATTACTTTCCTTCTACATTCTGTCCTTAATTGCATTCTGCTGCCTTCTAAACTAGTTGCGGGTTATCACTGTAAAGCTGGTTAGTCCTTAAATAGCCCACACAGTGAACTTGCTTGACTGGTTGCATTAGCATATGGTAGCAGTTGCAGGATCGGCGAGGCGTGTGTTTGACTGGGTATGCCGCCCCCTACAGGTCGCTCTGTACAAGTCCATCCCGACGCGGCTACTGTCGCGAGCCTGGGGCCGCCTGAACCAGGTGGAGCTGCCGACCTGGCTGAGGAAGCCCATCTACAGCCTGTACATCTGGACGTTCGGGGTGAACATGAAGGAGGCTGCCGTAGAGGACCTGCACCACTACCGCAACCTCAGCGAGTTCTTCCGGCGCAAGCTGAAGCCTCAGGCGCGGCCCGTGTGCGACTCGCACTGCGTGGTGAGTGAGTGTGCGTGAGTGTGTGCGTGCGGGGGCACCGTTGTCGATATTCATCTCCCAGCAGCATCTAGCCAGGAGTTACCCATCTGGCATGTAGCCGACGTTGCGACTAATTACTGTTAGCGTGGATGTGTCTGGGTTACCATGGTGACTTGTTTTTTTTTTGTGTTTTTTTTTCTTTCTCAGATCAGTCCAGCAGATGGAAAGATTCTCCATTTCGGGAGGGTGCGTAACTGTGAGGTGGAGCAGGTGAAGGGGGTGACCTACTCCCTGGAGACCTTCCTGGGGCCGCAGACTTGGGCGGAGAGCCTGGCCTCCAGCAGAAGTAAGCACCGCGCACGTCTGTCACCCCCCCACCCTGTGTCCCTCCGGCCCTGAACCATGGTCTGATCTCTGTGCATCCAGAAGTGGCGGAACCCAGCTCGTTCCAGGACATGCTGGTGACCAAGGAGGGCAACGAGCTCTTCCACTGCGTAGTCTACCTGGCTCCAGGGGACTACCACTGCTTCCACTCGCCTACTGACTGGAGGGTGGCACATCGGCGCCATTTTCCAGGTGAGTGCCCCGTCCCCCACCCACTCCGTCCCCCACCAAAGTGCACCCGCCCCTCCTCTCTAGGTATTTAGTACCACCCTCTTCAAACATAATTGGCTGTTTTTAGAAAATGCTTCGAAATGGTCCAGAAGTTTCAACCGCACTCTAATAGGATGTGGAAAAAGCGAATATAATTGATCAGAAGACGCCCAGTGTCTGTTTCCTAATAGTCCGTTTGAATGACACATCGTTTTCTTTCATTTTCCTGACCGATATCCAGCCAGGAGGTTCTGAAGGATTTTCAAAAGTGCAACCGAATGCCATGTAAGCGAAACGTGCAGGGACCCATGTACTGTGTACTGAGGGCAGTAGTGACCTTATGGTTAAGGCAGCGTGCTTGTGACAGGAAGGTTGCTGGTTCGAATCCCTGACCATCAGCGTAGCACCTAGATACGCTGATCAAGGTATCACCCCCACGCACTGCTCTCCAGGCGTAAATAATAGCTGCCCACTGCTATGTCACTTACGGGTTAAATGCAGAGGACACGTTTTGTTGTGTAGCACTGTGTGCTGTGGTGTCAACAATAACAATTAGTCACTTTCACTCTTAGTTTTAGCATTGTAACTATAACCTGTTAAAGTATTTTGTTTGCATCAATTGCTGCTAAAACGAAAGCGTTTGTGGCTTTAAAAACAAATGAAAGCAAACTGGCTAAGATGCGTCTGACAGTGTTTGATCCTGGTCCATCTTTGGCTATCAGCGGTGTAGAAGCCCCGAGAATGATGTCCGTACCACGGGTTATGAAAGAGGAGGAAAACGACGATGAAATGAGACTCGGTGACATACAAATTAGGAATATGTTAGAAGCACAGTGCAGGCTATGTTTGCAGTTTAATTTCCTTCTCTTTGCAATAATTGAGGTGACTTGCAAATATGGGAATAGAACTGCTGTTTAGCACAACAAAACCAACCAAAATGAAGCACACCTTGTAGTTAAGCTACTTTGGCAGTGTAAGGTTACGTATTTGGCAGAAGAATTGCTCGAGCTGTGTTTTTAGCTTGTGGGTTGACACTGCAAAACTTAAGTGATTTGCTGGTGCATTGCAAAATTTATTTGTATATAAACAATTTCTCCATTAGCTAATTAATGTTTTGATCCAGGGTAATCACTGTGGATGGAGTTAGGACAATTCCAAGGGGCCTCGGAGTGACAGGGGCCCTGAAAAATTTGGTAAAAACCTGGAATATTGGTCGGGACTGGGGCCCAATATGATATGGTTTCATGGGACCCAAAATCTCTATCGACGCCCCTGTTCACCGGTATGAATAAACCTAACCCGGGAGCACAAACCCGGCTCTGGCGCATGCCTTTCTGACATGTTTGGGTGCATGCTCTCCCCCTAGGCTCCCTGATGTCCGTGAACCCGGGCGTTGCGCGCTGGATCAAAGAGCTGTTCTGCCACAACGAGCGTGTGGTCCTGTGTGGCGAGTGGACACACGGTTTCTTCTCACTCACCGCCGTGGGCGCCACCAACGTGGGCTCCATCCGCATCTACTTCGACAAGGTGTGTGAATGATTGCAAACAAGCCCCAGAAGCATGTTAGCATGTAGCTAAATGCTGCTTTAAAAGGCTTGATACATCAGCATGTTAGCATGTAGCTAAATACTGCTTTACTAGGCTAGATACAGCAGCTTGTTAGCATGTAGCTAAATGCTGCTTTACAAGGCTAGATACAGCCGCTTGTTAGCATGTAGCTAAATGCCACTTTAAAAGGCTATAGATACAGCAGCTTGTTAGCATGTAGCTAAATGCCACTTTACAAGAGTAGATACAGCAGCTTGTTAGCATGTAGCTAAATGCCACTTTACAAGGCTATAGAGCAACTTTCTTAATGTTTACTGTTCTTAATGGCTTGTCCTACTGCTCCCCGAGAAAACAGGATGATGGATGTTCAAGCAGCGTGAGAAACAAGGCTTGAGGTCTTTTCCAGCCTCTGGAAATATAAAAGATCAATACTTAGATTAATGAAATGTAGCAATTAAGGAATTAAACTGAGTGCATGGGGGAAGCATAACACTAGCTGTACCATAGGCAGAGGAATGAGCAGCGGTTAGTTACCGTCTGCTGCCTTCCATCGCCTTTATCAGCTGGCTTCTGCTGGTGGAGACCAGTGTGTCCCTGTCAGAGGGCTCGGTGGCCAGAGCCCCCCTGAGGTCTGTATAGCCCGGAGCTGCCCCCCGCCCCCCATCCCGTTGGAACTTGTATTTTCCATGTGGATCAGAAGGATTCATTTCAGCACAGATCACGATAGGCATTGCATCCATGGATGTCATATTTGAAGTCTGTTTTGTTCCTTTTATTGAAGAAATGGTCTTTACTACTCTGTAAGAAGCTTTGCTTTTGTTAAACGACCGGCGCGATTCAAACACAATACAGACTTGCTTCCTCGCAGAAATGTAGGCCGGCCGGACGTGACGACCTTTCTTTCCTCCACGCAGGAGCTGCACACCAACAGCCCCCGCTACAGCAAAGGCTCTTACAACGACTTCAGCTACGTCTCCAATGGCAACCAGGAGGGAGTGTGCATGCGCAAAGGCGAGCACCTGGGCGAGTTCAACCTGGGCTCCACCATCGTGCTGCTCTTCGAGGCCCCACGAGACTTCACCTTCAGCCTCAAGCCCGGCCAGAAGATCCGATTCGGGGAGGCACTGGGGACCATGTGAGGGGCTGGGGTGTGGGGACAGTTGATGTGAGCGGACAAGCTGAGGAGGAATGTGGACATGCGCACAAGTGCGCACTCGCGCACATGCTAACTAAGCGATTAGCACATGTGAACGCATGCGTCGGCCTTGACGCCCTTTTCACTCGCACTCTCACTCGCTCACTTGTACACACAGGGATACGCACTTCTGTCGTCGCATCTTTGGTCAGGTCTCCCCACCTGTTTTTTTTTATTTTTATTTTTTTATTTTAAATGTTTACCATAGTTTAACTAATTTCTTGTACCACTTAACACATGAAAATAGAGATTTTTTTGTTGCTGTCTCTAATTTAGCATTTATTCTTTTTGTAACTGCACAATGCCTTTGTCAGGGTGACTCTCTCCGTGGGGAGGGGGTGGGGGGGGATTTTCTGAAAATTACGCTGTGTTTGCGCACACACTGACTCGCGGTCGCTTCCTAGAGGCGAATGGTACTGACCAGAGACACAGGATGGCCGACTCCTGTCTGCACGGCAGGAATGAGCCGACTTCCTGAAATCATCTTTTACTTTTCCTCTGCCCACTGCTCTCTTTCCTTTCCTTTTTGCATTCCTGCCTTCCTGCCCTGGATACTTTAGTGACACACTATCTCTCCCTTCCTTCCGATGGATCTGCTAACCCACTGGATGAAGAGTTCAAACAGGAGAAATAACCCCAGGAGATGGTCACGGTACTCAGAGCCCATCAAATGCTTACTGTAATTGTCATGCCTGTCTCCCATTCCTTCCAGCACTAGCAGCCGTGACTGGTTGAAAGACGAGCCCTGACATCGGTCGATCCCATTACCCTCACACTCAGTCGTGTCACTTCCATCTAAATATCCATGCAGGAATCCTTCCTCCACCACATAGTCCTGGTGCATTTCTGATTTCCCCGTTTCTGTCAGAAAACAAGAGTGTTACCTTCATTTTCATCTACTGGACTGAAGGACGCAAATGACTACAACCCCCAGTTTGCACCTGTCATTTAAGGACGACTTGCCCTTTAAACTTAGTGTCCAAAAATGTGTGCTATGTTGCAAATAGCAGAATGTTTCAGGGCTTGTATATCCACAGTTTTTCACCAGTTATGCATTGCTTTCTAATTCAATAGCAGTCTGTCCACCTTTTCTTTGACGTACCAGTTAAATAATCCTAGAACTTATGAAAAATGTTGCAAGGGTTCTTCATCAGTGCCTAAGAACATTTCAGTGTTTTTTTTTTTTTTTTGGGTGGGGGGTATCATTTATCTCTGTGTCATTTTTCTCGTTTTGCTTTGCATCAGTCCTTCGACGCGTCAGGCTGAATGTCGTTTTCTTCTTCCAGCTGCCATTTTTTTCTGTTTGCGGAGACATTTCTAAGAGGGTTATTGTGGCATGCAGCTAAGTCTGGTTGTAGTCCACTCGACACAGGTTTTTCGAATGGATGTTTTCAGTGAAAACAAAACCTGCCGTTTTAATGTAATACTGATATTAATATTGTATTAATTATGATACTGTAATTGAAACAGAGGTGTTCACTTAGGCAAATATTTTATATTTTTGTTTTTCTGTTGTAGTGCCAAACCTTTTTTTTTTTTTTTTTTTTACACTCACACACACACATATTTCCCTACTCTGAGGTTGCATTTTTTTTTTGGTCTATTATGGGATGTGTGTGACTGTGCTGCTGCTGTGAGAGAATGAGACCACAAACTGGGCTGTGCACACAGCAAAAGGCTGGTTCTGGGTTCTTGTGGGGGGGGCTGGTGATGGGGGTGGAGGGGAGAGCGAGACGCACACGAGGGCATCCGGCTCGGACGCCAGGGCTGGGTGTCTCCCTTGGCCTCACCGGGCTCCACATTTATTTTTATACCTGAAAAGTAAGATACTTGACACATTTCAGTCATCTCACATTTCATAAACTTTTAATTTCGAAACCAAAAAGTAATCAACAAAAATGTTACTATTGCATTTTTGCCAATTCTTTAAGAGAAAAATACAGTGATGGGTGATCAGCGTATTACATCTTGGAGTCTGTTTCACTACTTAATAAATTCATTATATAATTACAAGGTCTAGTGTGTTGTCTCGCAAATGTGGTAATGGTGCTGCCTTTAATGATGTAAAAATGGGGAAAAAAAGCTTAAGAAAGCTTACTTTAGCAACATATTTAAGGATATTTATTTGCCAGATGAATTACTTCAGCTGCATTCTTAGGTAATGGATGATGACATTGATATTGCAGAACTGAAGTGATATACTAGTACAGGGGTGGACAGTCTTATCCACAAAGGGTCGGTGTGTATGCAGGTTTTTGGGATAACCTGTAGGTTAGCTGTTCAAACCCAGGTGTGGGGACTCTTCAGCCAATCAGTCCTCTAATTAGTAATCTAATTAGGGAGTTGCAGCAAAAACCCACATAACGCACCGGCCCTTTGCGGATAAGATTGCCCACCTCTGTACTAGTGCATTGCAAAATTTATAAACTTTAAAATACATTTTCTTCGTTTGCTACTTAATCTTATGAGTAAGGGTAGTTACTGTGAATCGGTAGTTCTCAGTCCTTTTCCTGGCGCCCCCCACCAGAATGTTTTCATTCCAGTTCACACTGCCTTCAACCCGCTACATTAATTATTAGCCTTTTCAGGACCACATAAGCCTGATTAAGGTGGAGCTGGAATGGAAACGTTCTGGCTGGGGGAGCAAGGGCAGGGGCGGGTTTTAGAAACACTTCTGTGAATGAAGGTTTTGCCTGTTTTGTCTGTTATCAGAAGGGCACCAATCCAAATCCCAGGTGGAGTGATGTCACTGTTGGGCCCCTGAGCAAAGGCCCTTAACCCCCAGTCACTTTGCATAAAAATGTCTGCTGAAGACCTGTAAGACCTGCTCTTTTCGCTTCGCACACTTGCTGCACTCTACTTTTTTAAAATTATGGCACTTCCATCAGCTTCATGCTTTGTTTCAGTTGTATCTATTTTACTGGAGGAATCCACCCAATACGAGGAATTATTCTCTTTGGCCTACAGGGGCACCATTCTTCTTGGATGCCATACCTGCTTCGTTTCCTGATTTGCAACTAAATTCCTAAGAAGACACCTAAAGAGTGATTTTGTGTAGGGAGCGAAGGCAGCGAATGGAGTATGATTCTGCTGTGACAGGCTGGCATCCTTTCCAAGGTGTTTTGTGGCCTGATCTGTCTGGGATAAGCTCCAAGTTCCCCAGGATTGACCACGAGATTTTGGATCTAATTTGAAGAATGTATAACGTAACAATGTTTAATTTTTTATTTTCATAACACATCTGGTATTCATGTGATGTCATTTTCAGAATGCAATTTTCAATCACCAATTAACTAGAATTTTACTTAATTAGTATTCATAGTTTGTGTTACCTACGTAATCTGAGTATTCATGAAACCTTTGCAATTGTTAGAACATTTGCATGCCTTACGTTATTTGAGTAACTTAAGTTGTTAACTTCAAGATTTGTTCACTCTGGATTAAGTTCATTATAAATTGAAATTTTCGTGGCATCTGTTTCAGTGCTTATAATGTATGTTTCCAGTACTTTTGGACCAACCTGAAAAAGAGTATTTCCGATAAATGTCAAACATACCTATGGATAAGAGTTCCTCTTAAGCACAGATATTTTCAGTCATAATTTTCAATGCTAATCCTGTCTTTTTCGGCAGATATTCACACAGTTAAAATTTATAAATACCAACATGAATCTACCAAACAAGGCAATAACAAGGAATATTTCCAATACCCATGTACAAACCTGTTTTCCACAAATTACAAAAAATGTGTATACATGAAGAAAAGATCATGAAAATGTATCCAATATCTTTGCAAGGTAACAAATTCAACTAATATTGTAGAGCAGAAATATTGACATATACAATATTACAGTATTACATTATATAGTGCATTGTTTTTTTTCCAAGTGAAGTAAGTTTATTTCAGCTGTATACACAGTTAAATGAAACATTGACAAGATTGAGGTAGGGTTTGGATTAGGGTTGGGCTGTGGTTATGGTTAGGATTTCTATTAGGGTTCTGGTTAGTATAGACGTTTGGTTTCAGGCTAGGGTTAGTCATTGCTGTGTACCTGAAAATGAATGCTTCATGTAAGTATTCATCTAAATGCCACTTCCATGGTTTGCCAGTTATTCATGAAATTCACTCGCATTTCTTATGGCATTTGTGTAATTTATGGTTTTTGGTTTGTTTGCTCAAGATTTCTGACTGTATACATCACTTCCTGTGCTCTTTTGCTTTTTGTGATGCATATTTTTTGAAATGATAAAAAATAGCATTTAACCCTAAAACCCCAAAAAGCATTTTATACCCTAAAACAATATTGCATTCTTAAATCACAGCTGTGCACAGGTTTCGTAGGTCCTAAAAAGATGTGTTAAATCTTATTTCGTCAAGATGTACCGGGTTTGTCCAATAATGACACTTCCTGAGAAAACACAGATTTTAAAACACGGTTGTTCAGACTGGTAAAAATGCAGTAACAGTACGCTAAAATAATTTCTGAAAGCAAGTGTTTCCCTTTGTTTATTATAACAAACTGCAGTACAATGAGATGTGAAATGTGCACATTTCTGGGGTCAGAAACTGAAGAGAAGGTCACTGTTTGTCATTGAAAACTCAGAGTTTTGTTACCGAAGCGGACGGTTACGCAAGCAGCCCTGTTTCAGTTCGCTGAATAATGAGTCACAGTTTCAGAAAGCCCGTAGACGCCTTTGTTTATTTACTTTGCCAGATAACCCCGTAATGTGCTATGTTCATCACGTCGGTGTTGTATAGCAGCACCATGTTGGTTGTATCGTGACCAGCCTTGTTGATTGGTAAATTTCCTGTCTTCCTGGGCACGTGTTCAAAATACAGTTTTGACAGTTGCATCAATATTTTCAGCACAGTGCAGGAATTACCTTTGGGAATATATACGGACCACGGTAACAGCCCCTGCACATTACAAGGTCACATGCTGCTGCTCTTCGGGACTAATTAATGGGGAGATTTTATTTGACCAGGGTTGAATGTGCCCCTGGAGCAGGTAATAATGGGAATGTTCTTATACATAGGTGGCGCACGGGGGGGTGGTCACAGGTAGTGTTGCCATAGCGAGGGCAGCCAAGTGAAACTCAGTGACGTTGCATTCCCAAACCGGTTGTCTTGACGCCACCACCCCCCCCCCCCCCAGGGGGCAGGGCCAGGTGCATGTAAGGTGTGCAGGAACGCAGTACTCCCATGCCGTGTGTCAGGCTCGCTCCTCATTCAAGCGGCAGGCGCAGAGGGGACTAATCTGGAGAATGTGGTGTGATATGAATCTCTAACAAGTACCCCGGCTCAACCCAAGGTAAGAGCACCTCCCCGTGCTTCGCTTTGATTGCTTACTGGGGTGTATAGTTGCTGAAGAAACATAGAACATTGTACCTCAACAAGCTGCAAAAAAAATCATGAAAGATCAACATCAATCTGATACTGAAGTAGTCAATAAATGGAATATGGAGGGATTTCTTATTGGTCTCAACATCATGCAACAAAATAAATAAAATCTTAGAAAGGCACAAGGCAAAATGTAACATCCCTGTAGATTATTTTTAGTTTCAGTTAAATACTGGCATATTGTTTTTTAATACTCTGTTGCTTTGGCTATAATTGATTGTTTTTAAAATCCTTTCACAATCATGTCATTCATTCTCTGACTTGCATGACACAGCCATTCCTAACCACCAAGGGAGGGGCCCAGCCCAATCCTGAGACAACTCATTACGATCTCCTGGTGCTTAAGGACATTTCCTGTTTCCCTAGGTCACCCTCACCGCCTGTCCCCATTCGCAGCGACCGGCGTTTTATTCCACCTACCCATCATTCAAAATGAGCAACTTGAACCTCTCCCTGGACAACCCCTATGGCAGCGTGACCATCCCTCGCGCCAAGCTGAGCTCCGTCGAAGACGGCAGCGTCGTCATAGCCAATCCGGCGGCGGTCTATAATGCAGCCGGCCCCTCCGCCCTCAACCCCTATGGAAATTTCCAGCCCCAGGGAGAACAAGGACCCCAAGGCCCGTCAGGTCAGACCCCCATGCCCTACCAGGGCATGGGCTCCACCTACGTAATCAAGGAGACTGAGGAGAAGGACAGTTGCTGCTACACCTGCTGGTGCTGCTGTTGCCGCCGCCGGAAGAAGAAATAAAGCATCGATTCCGCCTCCTCCTCCGACCGTCGGCCATCTTGAAGCGGACCCAGATGCCCACGACCGTGAGCTTCTAACACAGAGGCAGGCCAGCTAGCTACAGGAAGCAGCAGGATGTCTATGGAACCTCCCTCCTTTGAACTGCAGAGCATATTTCTGTTTTGCATTGCTTTGGATCTAGCGTGCCTGAATCACAAACTGAAAAATTTATGCGTATAATGACAATCATTCAAGATTCAAGATAATTTGATATATTGTCGACAGTGACAAGACAGTTTCTGGTCTAGAAAGCAAGAAATGCCCTGTAGGTGTCTGATATGGCAGAGCACATGACATTCGTCCCAGTGAGAAGTGGAATTACAGAGATGGATCAGATCATTTCCATACTGCACCCAGATGACTCATAAACCCAGATTTGCAGCTCTGTGGTCATCATTGTTTTTTCCCATTCTTGGTGTCATTGTACCCTATCTTTGCCACTTCCCCTGTCAGTCATTTTGAACAGTGTGATATCTGTTTTCCACAAAAGACCATATCTAAGATCTCAAGCATGTAGATGACTCTTTCAGGACTACTATTGTGGTTGAAGTATGGGTGAGGTTTTCTCTATAGGGAGTGGTCAGTTTATGTGGGCCTGAGTGACTGACTAACACCCGGACACCACACCCTACAACGCTGCCCTCTTGACAAAATAAGAAGGGCACAGGCCCGCCCTGACCGTAAATGGACTGCTGTGAGACTAGAGACTTGTTTGTTATCTCTCGGCATGTGTACTGTAACTCGTTTCACCGTATTACAAGAGCTGGGTCAATAATGGTGAGGGTGTGGGGTACTTGAGACAAGAGCTGCTTTGGAATGCTTCGGGCCCAAGGCAACTTCTGGGCTTTGATGGAGTGAGAAGTAAAGATATAAAGGCAGGTGAAATAACTGACCGGTAATAAGCGAATTAGGCTCTGTCATAACACACATACTGCTTACCTGTGCCGACCAGCATGTCCAGCCAGATTGATACTGTATGCAGTGTTTCTATGGCAGTCACCTGTTAAATCCTGCTTTGACTGGTGGATCTTTGATTACTCTCTGGACCCCGAATGAATGGGAGTTTTAGGGGTTCCCTATTCGATCATCACCCATGTTCACTATTGGCATTATGAAACACTTCAGACCTGGTCTTCTAAACATGTTATTAGAAATTACCAAAATAAAATGGGAGTGTTTGAAATACCTATTGATTGAAGTTGCTTTTGTCGACGACCTCGTAAAGCACACGCCATGGTATTTGTCTGTGGTTCTGAGTCGCGCCTCCGCACTCTTTCTTCAGAGGCTACAGGTGCAAACATGAGGCTGACGAACAGGTTTACGCTGCGACGCCTTTTCTGCCAGGGGTTGCGCCGTCTTCCTCAGCAGAGCTCGACGTTCCCAAGGCCACCTTCTGAAGGGACATGGGCACGGAAAAAAGGAGCGGCAGTGACACCACGGGCCATGCAAATAAACCGGTCGTCCTGCCAGTCGCCGATGAAACGCCACACCTGTTTCATCGGCGGTGAGCAGATCGCCACCCAATCGATGTGCGGGACGGGATTTACAGCATTTGGTTGCTGACATTATGAATGAGAGGCTTAATTTCCAAGCTGACACCTTAAATCAAACTTCATTAGATACTAAAGATCTCCAGATATATATATGCAAATACAAATTTTGTGTGTGTGTGTGTGTGTATGTATATATATATATATATATGTGTGTGTGTGTGTATATATATATATATATATATATGTGTGTGCGTGTGTGTGTGTGTGTGTGTCTATATATATATAAGTCTTCAGGTGTAGCTTCTGATGTGTGTTTAAATTATAATAGAACTGCTACGTGATCCTGCTGGTTCAAAGATCTACTCACAGAGGACAAGTTAACATCACTATCAGGGTTGTACCACCCTGCAGCATTCGCAGTAGTTCCATCCATGTGTACAAAGACCTCTCTCTGAGCCGTCTGCCAAGATGGTTCCAGAACATTCCAGTAACAGCCTCTATAGGTAAAGGGGGGTGTTGTAAGATGTGCAGGTTAGTGGGGTTGGGCCTGTGTTCCCTCTGGTTAAACAGGCTTGGGCAGCTTTCCCGGGTGGGATCTGGGCCTAGGTGTCATCAGGGACAAACTCACTAGAACAACCGGCCCCACCTGCCCACAACATTCTGAAAGACCTTTAGTTAAACCGAAACCTCAGTCTATAACACTACCTGGGTTCCAAGACCTGCAAATATTACCTTGGAAACTCCACAACTGCGCTGCTATAAGCTGTTAAACTCTTAAGTTCAGGTGACCTCTACATATATTCTGCCTTTCTGAATTGTTCATGTATGTACAGCTCTAGGAAAAAAAATTAAGAGACTGCGGCAAAACTTTCAGTTTCACTTATTTCTCAATTTATGGGCATGCGTCTGTGTAAAATATACATTTTTTTGCAAACTCCAGCCTGGCTCTTCCCTGCTTCTCATTAATGAAGGGCTTCTTCCTTGCTTTATGGGTCTTCAATCCTGCTTCTAGGAGCCTGATATGAACTGTCCTATCAGTGCACTTCACACCTGCACTTAATGTTTCCCATTCCTTTTATAGGTCACTTGAGGTCATCCTCCAATTTATGAGGCACTGTTGGAAATGTTGGCAGCGATCTGTTGGCATTAGAAAGTCGCTTCTGCCCTCTACCTGACTGGTTTATAGTCAGTGTCTCCTGCTTCACCGTATTCTTGTGTACTGCTGTCTTATAAGCTCTAAGCCTGGAGGCAACCTGCCGTGTAGTGTAACCTTCTGCCAGCAGAACCAGGATTTAACCAGGATTTGAGAATGCCAATTTTTTTTTAAATATTGAGTCGCCTCTTAATTTTTTCCAAAGCTGTATGCCTTGTCTAACAACATTCATGCAACAATCAGTCTATTTTACGAGGTAACCCAGCAAGCTTCTCTGGAATGCTAGCTCTGAAAAATACTCGGGTAGGGGCTGATATATACAAGTCTCCTACCGATTTGTTTTTGGAAGAGTCGTGCTGACAGTGGCTGCCTGCTGAAGGACCATCGAAAGTCACAGAAAGTTGAAATGTTTGAACTTCAGATGGGCGTAAAATCTACATCCAACTATGACGTAAGCGACCCCTATAGTGTCATGTGGTGCATGATTTTGCTTTTCAGGCGTGTGGCGCATTACCACTAAATACCTACATGCAACGGTCTCCAGCTGTTAGTGTAAACGAAAGCATTTACCCCATCTGCGCGAAAAATACTGATAAAAATATCTATGTGCTATTCATTAGGCCCCTTTTGGAAACTATAGATGAAGTCTGAAGAGTGACAGCTAACATAAATCCGGTGATTTGAAGAAACTAAATTATAGCAGTCCACTAAATGCGACTGTAAACCTGTAGATCTTGCAAGTGACTCTTGTAAATCCTTTAGATAAGAACTGTCACTGAGTTTGGGGCTGACAATGGCTCCAAAATGCAATTTTCAAAGACGTGCCGTGATTGAATTCACCCACCTCCCCCCCATGGTGATCGAGATAAGTTAAAATAAAAAGTACCTTGTCATTCCTAAAAGGAAGAAGGAAGTTACTGTTATTGTGTGTTGACCGGTTTTCATCATTCATGCTGAAAGTAAACCACTTCCTAAAGGGCTGGGGGGGGGGAGTTGTTTAAGAGAAAATAAGATAATTTCGCAAAAACATCCATCAATCCATCCGTTTTTGAAGCCCACTGGTCATATGTAATATTTAAATTTGGTACAACACAATTACAAAGAGGATGTAAAATACTAAATAATTTAGGTGGAGAGCCGATAATAATCAGACTAAAAAAAATTAAAAGAATGCGATTGTGTGGCTCCACTGGTAATCTTAGCTTAAAGTGCACCATTTTTCACAAGTAACAACAAGATTATTGCCACCTAAACAGGAAATATTGTATCCTAAAAGTTTTCTAATATTGCTCCTGGGTCAGTTGACATTTAAAATACTTCCTCCCACACATATCAACAAGAGAAGTTTACTGTTATACGTGTTATCTGACATCATGAGTGTTTTCTGAATTTTATGGCTCAAATATGGCATTCTTGGTTAAATAGACATGTAAACATGCCAACCGCTTACGCTGTCTGCATATGGGAAAGCAGCCTGTAGATTTATCACGTGTGAACACAAGAACCTGCAGATATTATTGCCATCTTCATTGACCTTGGTTTTGCACATTTCGATGATAGAAACTGAAAAAAAAACTTTAACAGAAACACTGAAATTTCATAAAAGAAAAACCTTCAGATATGGAAAAATAGTTTTTACATTCGCTTGAGGTGATTTTCATGGTAAGTTGCAAAAGTACTTTGCAAATCTGCAGTGGAAACAGAATTTGCAAATGAGCAGATACGTAGGACAAGATAATTACTTCTGTTGAAGTTCAAGACATGGATCTTAATCTCATGAGATGATAAATGGCAATTATTATTTGAAGGGCATACATTAATGTAAACACACCCAGATTTGTCATTTTACTTTGTGAGCTTATTAGAAACTTAATTTGCACAAAACTTTAATGGAAACAGCTATTGTGACACATAGGTGTCCAGTGTGGCCCAGAGATTGTGACGTGTGCACACCTGTAAACATTGCAACATACAAATTTAATAGCATGGAAACTATGATCTGTATACATCAGGGGTGGCCAATCTTATCCGCAAAGGGCCGGTGTGTATGCGGGTTTTCGCTGCAACTCCCTAATTAGATTACTAATTAGAGGACTGATTGGCTGAAGAGTCCTCACACCTGGGTTTGAACAGCTGACCTACAGGTTTTCCCAAAAACCTGCATACACACCGGCCCTTTGCGGATAAGATTGGCCACCCCTGGTGTACATTATTACATGGAAACACAGCACCCTGTACACACTGTGATATATAGACATTACGAAATGCCAGGTCTATGACCTGTAGATATTGTGACACATAGATGCATTTCCTGTGTGGTTCATAACTGCCGGTTTCTTGTCACACAAATGTCTTTGTAGGGAAATACGCACCAATCAGCCATAACATTACAACCACTGACTGAATAACATTCATAATCTCAATACAGTGGCACTTGTCAGGGGTGCCATTGTAGGTTAGACAAGTGAACAATCAGTTCTTGAAGTTGTGTTGGAACTTGGATCTGAGTGACTGTGACAAGGGCCAAATTGTGATCGACTGGACCAGAGCATCTCCAAAGCTTGCTGCCTACGGGGCTGCATAGCCGCAGACTGGTCATAGTGGCCATGCTGACCCCTGTCCACCTCCGAAAGTGCCTGCGATGGGCACATGAACATCAGAACTGGACCATGGAGCAATGGAAGGAGGTGGAAATGTTCTGCTGGGAAACCTTGGGTCCTGGCATTCATGTGGGTGTTACTTTGACATATATCACCTGCCAAAACATTGTTGCAGACCAAGTACACTCCTTCATGACAAGGGTATTCCCTGATGGCAGTGGCCTCTTTCAGCAGGACCATGTGCCCCTGCTTCACTGCAAAAATGATTCAGGAATATGGAAAAAAAAGCATTGATACTGCCTCCAAATTCCCCAGATCTCAATCTGATCCAGGGTCAGTGGGATGTGCTGGACAAACACGACCGATCCATGGAGGCCCCACCTCGCAACTTATAGGATTTGATCTGCTGCTGACGTCTTGGTGCCAGATACCACAGCACACCATCAGAAGTCTTGTGGAGTCCATGCCTTGATGGGTCATTGCTGATTTGGCGGCACAAAGGGGACCTATGGCTGATCAGCGTATGACCTGTTTGTACCACAACACTTCTCCTTATCTTCAGTTCATTTTACTGAATGAACGAGTCTCCCGCCGACTCCAGCAAGGACATGGTGATTGAAAGTGCCTCCCTGCTAAGTCCTGAGCCCCCCTTCCGAATATTGCCAACAGGGAACCTGCCCCAGGGGTTGGTTAGTGGCTCACTGGGTTAAGTCTCTGTGTCTGTGGTCAGAAGATCGCCGGTTCAGGCCCCAGTCTTGGTAGAACAGTCACATGTCTGTGGGCCCTTGAGCAAGGCCCTTAACCCCCAGCTCTAGGGGTGCTGACCCCAGGCTGTGACACCCAACCTGTGGAGAGCAAGATGGGGTTGGTGAAGAGAAGCATTACAATGTACCTGTATTTGTGCAAATGCCAAATAAAAGATCTTTCATTTATCCCCCAGTTGGAAAATTTTTACCTAAGTGCCCAGTTTCAATCACTGACAATTACACAGTTTACCAAGGGTGATTTCCCCCCCCCGGTGCGATTTACTGGTTCTGAGGAAATAAAAAAAAACAGTGTTATGACCGCAAAACTGGAACATGAGGTTAAAGTCGCACTCTCCAGGCAGTGACCCGATTCACTGACCAAGCCCATGAGGAAGGAATGACACTGCACCCATATTTACCAGTGGGAGCCGCTTCAGCAAAATAACCAGCTAAGTAAATGGGAAACGGGTCGCAAGACTCTGAACTTTGCAAGACTCCCTCAACGTGGTGCAAGAAAACAGATCTCCTGATCTTGCATACCCCTGCTCCGACGTCAGATTATTGTAACAAGAGCTTTCAGTGGACACAGCAGTTATTGGGGAAGAAAAAAAAACCCCATAAAATCAGGTCAGCGAAGACACACCCATCAGGCCTAAGTTTCATCGTCAGAGATAGATTAGCATAAGTGACTTAGGGAATGGGCAGAGAGTCCCTAAAATAATTAGACGGGCAAACAAGCTGAACTTCTCAGTAAGTCACATCATCCTCATCATTCTGATGTCACAGAACTGCAGAGGTAGATGTTATATCAGTAATTCAAGCAACATTCAAGAAATACAAATAATCAACCCAGAACGGAAATGTTCAATTTGGGTAAACATAACATTCCTGGCGTATTAATGGTCCACGAGGTAACTATGATAAACGCCTTCAAAGAAACTGGGTGAAGAGTAAAAGATAAAACACCAAGGAGTCACATGAGACCAGCGTTTCTTCCGGTGACAGATCATCGGTGAATCTGCACAATACAACCACCTAGTGGCCACAAAGCCATATTACTCTCAAACGGCTTATTTATTGAGTTGTACTCTATACCATCCAAAATTTTATACTTAATGTACATTTTCATGCATTGCCTGTGTTCTAAAACCAAGAGCACCATGTGATTCAGGATCATCTGATGTCTCACGCCAAAGGGCAGGCGGTCCTAGTACTATGAAACGTGCGTTAATTGTGAAATTTCACCGTCGTTAGGTCGGATAACTCTGGGCTGTAGCCCTGAGTATTATAAACCGAGCGCCGAGTATTTTAGCCCCGATGCCAATCTTCCTTCAAAAGAGAAAAAGAAGAAGAAGAAGAAGAAGAAGAAGAAGAAGAAGAAGAAGAAGAAGACCAGCCCCAGGCAAACTTGACTTGCCTCTGCTCTTTTCGGTACTGGAAACTCCCCGGCATCCATTTACCCTTTCCTATTATACTGTCATTATTGGGTAATTTTATACTTATGCATATTTGACAGGAGACTTCATCAGAATATTACCCTCCAGCAAATATTAATAGAGGTATTTAACTTTAGGTGCTAATCATAAAGTAACTAAAGGAACGGCGAAAATCTCCCATCCGGCAAACGCTACCTCGAGAGCTATAAAGGCACTTAATCAGACCATCAAGCGCCCCCGGTAAAACTGGTTGTACTTACAATTACCTCACTGTAAACTTAGCACTACAACCGTAACATTGCACAACCCGAGCTATTTTATGAACCTTTTGCACTATATCTATATATGCACATTGTATTTATGTTTTCATATAGCATATTTGTACTGTTTATATAGGGGGTTTCTATATCATTTTACAGGAAGAGTACTATATGGAGGGGTTGCACATTGAATCTCTGTACTGTGTACAAATACAATAAATGAATTAAATTCAATTCAAAATGCCTAAACGTTTCTATACAATGGAGTATGTAAGGTTGCTTTTAATACCAGGAGGGGCGATATTATAGCATCGAAAAAAACACGGCTAACTTGAATCGGTTTAGTAAATGCTCAGTAATGTAACGGCAAAGTGTTCTACAGTATTTCAGCTAAAAAAAAATATGAAGTCGGTGATAAGCGGTGCATTAAACCGGTGTAACTAGAAGGCCCCTTGCCCCATCCAGCTGGTCCTCCCTGTTGACAGCCAATTTGCGGTGTGTCTCGGCGTGCCGTGTCGGGTTTCTCGGACCCTTTGTGTTGGCCGTAAGCCGATATCCCCGCCGGCCTGCTCCCGAGGAGCGGCAACGTGAGCCGGGGTATGCCTTCAGCCCGGCCGGGCCGTCAGCAGAGGGCTGCACGCGTGTGGGATCGGGAAGGGGTTTCACTCAGCCTTACTCCTGCAGTCTCCCTGGAATAGCCTTTCACATTGGTCGCTGTGCTCAACCTTTATACTTAGTACAGCGTCCCCTTGGAGACCCGAGACGGGTGATGCGACTCCCGTCCCGCATAAAGAAGTAAGAGAAACTTCCCTCCTGGATCGGAGCCAAGCGGAGATCCCAGGTTCTCCTGGGCACATTGGGCATGAAGTAGAGGGATTTGGAGGAGGATTTGAAGGGGCGGAGGTGTCTACGAACGGCCCTGCGGTGACGCACTGAGCCCCCGCGACCCCGTCCATGTCTCGGAGCTGATAAGGTAATGGGTGGGTACGGGGCAGCGGGAGCCTCAGCGAGAAAACCGGAGGAGCACTAAAGACACACGGTGCTGGAAGGTACATATGAGCCGCTATGCTTGGATCATCTGGCATATGTCCGGCATCAGGAGCCGCCGTGACACCCGTTAGTATATTTCTGCAGTAAAAAAAAAAAAACCGTTTTGGTTCTAAGATATATTGTACGACTAATTGATGTGAGACAATCTGAATACCTTTTTAGTATGAGCTGCTTAACTTTTTTTGTTACCCGGTATTCCTTTATATAGGCTATTGTTTAATATAAAAAGTCACAGTAGGTCTACATACTTTTAAGTCATATATAGGCTATAGCTTATTATAAAAACATGACGTTTAGCGTTTGTTTCTGCAAAATAACTAATATTTGCCATCCATTAATTTTCCAAGCGATTGCTTTCTACAAAATTCGAATTTATAGAGAATTTTGCGAGCTTGTTCATCATTAAAGTTTACAGACTTCACAATATAAACCAGGTGAATATTCAGTTTTAATTCGATCCCGTGTTGCTCAAGATCAATAATTCATCGCGGGTAATTGACATACTTAAAATGTGATAAATATTGAAAATTAGGACAAACTAGGCGGCCCAGTCTATAGCGCGTTAAAGAACGATGCAATAAGGTTTAGAACAGCTGCAGATAAGAGCTGATCGCCGCAAACACGGGCCCCGGTCACCATCTGCTCTGTTTCATCCTTACCTGCATCTCGGATAGAAAACGGATCCACCTGTCTCTGTTTACAGGATTACTCTACCGTGTTTCCTTAGCCTGGTGCTTGATCAGCCACCGAATTTCCCCACAACACGTAACAGCTCCGAAGTTGCGTTATAGCTAGAGAAGACTTTGTTTTAATCGCTTCCAAAAGCAGTCGTGTAGGTTTGCTGTCTAAGCAGATGAAGATGGTGTGATAAATTTGCATTCCTCGCTCTGCACAAGATGTCAAAGGAGGACGGGTCTGTGCCAGAGGCACCAGCAGGGGGCAGTGTGGAACCGGGGGAGCAGCCTTCGCGAGACAGCCGCAAGTTGGATTGCATAATCTGCTATTGTGCTTACAACCTAAGCGAGAGGCTTCCGCGCAAGCTGTATTGTGGGCATACATTCTGCCAGGCTTGCCTGCGACGACTGGACACCGTCATTAATGAACAGGTATGCCTGGTTTAACGAAGAAGCCTTATGCTAGGGTTACTATCCCAGCATCCTAGCATAAACTCCACAAACTTGACCCCTGTCCTTATTGCCCTCTGCACCCCTATTCCCAGCAGCTGTGGATTCCCTGCCCGCAGTGTCGTCAGAACACACCTTTGCCACGCGGCGGCGCTACTGCGCTCGACCTGGACCTGGCTGCCTTCCTGGGCGTGAAGGCCGAAGCGGAGAACCAGCGAATCAGCACGCTGCAGGGGGGCGGGATCCAGCTGGAACACAAGCCTTCATTCATGAAGCAGCCAATCACGGAACAGCCTGCGTCAGCATGGGCACATGGGATGCTAGCAGAGCCCCGCCCCCGGCTGAGCCCCTGCTGCCGGCGATGCATGTCCTGCTGCTGGTCATAAGCGTCACGCGCCTGCTCTCACAAAAACTGAGCATTTAAGAACAGGATGGTGTACAAACAGAGCAGCCCAACTACTGAATCAAGCTCCATCCAGCTCCCTACAGGAACTGCCACGTGCACGTGCATATGTAAAACATTCTGTCCCGTTTCTATTTCCGGGAGCCAAGTGCTTTTTTGCCAAGGATGACACGTTACACGAAACCGTGTTTTGGAAACACTACAGGCTGCTTTCAATTCCAGGGATCACTTGTTTTAAAAACCATGAGTTAGCGAACTTTAATCACTGCTAACATGACCTGGCTTTAAACACTGGACAGTCTTACTGGCTGATGTAATTGTCCATGCAGGAACCAGCCCGTGTGGTGACTTGTGTGTTGCTTTTGATATGACCTTTATTTTCCTTAAAGCTGGGCAGATACACAGCTAGACCATGGTACAATGACCTGCCCCTATCATGCTAACACTGTTGTATTGTACACTGTTTGAAGTGTAATTTTAGAAGCAGGGTTCAAAGGAATCCATACGTACGATTCTGTTTTTACTTTTGTAGTCTCAAATTATGGGTGCAATATGTCACATGTTAAAAATTAAGAGGTCATACACACACACATGCAGTGAAACAGCCCACTGAATGGTATAGGGCTTTTAATCTGGTCTTCTACATCCAAAAGGTCGACATGAAGGATTATCCTATTGTTTTGTTAAACACAGCGTTGCAAGTCTTCAGGAGAATGGGCTGGCCACTCGACTGGTAATGAACATTAAAAGATGGAAACGGTCCGACATGGAATAAAACAGAAAACTCACACATTTGCTAAGAAAAATATGTTAATTTTAATTGCAGTGACATTGTAAAAAAATGGTTTGAGAAACTGGAGGAAGAGTGGATTTAAACTACAGACATTTATGATGCTTTGAAAGTAAAACTAAAAACCTACCATATGAAGTGATACTCTCCAAATTTTCAGTGTCCTGCTCACTTTTGATAAATTTGCTGAACTTCCAGATGTTTCTGCTACGTTCAGACCCTGCCCTCGAGGTTTTTACAGCTGAATGTCAGGTTACAGCTCAGATCCGACAGCACACCCCTAAGAGAGCATCCCACCCACCCACACACACACACACGCACACACACGCATCACAGATACACCCCCCTCCCTGCTGATGTGACTGACAGCTGCTAGCAGAACACAAGCCCCTCCCCCCTCACTCAGACATCCAGAGCTTGAAGGTGCGGTCATAGGAGCAAGTGGCGATGAGCTGCCCGTCCGCTGACACGTCCAGCCCCATCACCTTGCCCTCGTGGCCGGCCAGCGTCTTCAGGGGGGACCAGCCCGGGTGTGTCCACACCTTGGCCGTGTTATCGTAGGCCCCCGTCAGCAAATAGTGACCGTCTGTGGCTGGAAGGGGGAACAAGGAGGCGTAGAGAACGTTGAGGCATGACCTCGACTTCATCAACATCAATCAGGTCAGACAATCATCCTGAACGGTCACCTTAATCCCTCACCAGCAGCTAGAAGCGCAACCCCAACAAGAAGTCACCGACTAGCGGAAGAGGGACCCACTTACGCTGGAATTTGACGGAGGAGATCAGGTTCTGGTGGGCAGGGATGGTGTAGATGCACTTCCTCTGCCGAAGGTCCCACACCTTGCAGGTGTTATCACCACTTCCAGTTGCCATGTGGAAGCTGAGGGGCGGAGCAGGGATTTAGACCCAGGGGAATGTTACGAGGCGGGACTCTGCTGCAGCTGGCCCAAGACGCCTCCAGTAGGCTAAATACTCCCCCAGCCAAACCCCTGGCTTTTACCGCCCGATTAAGGTTCATTTGTTGACCTACCCATTGGGCGAGAAGTTGATGCCGTAGATCTCCTTGAGGTGGCCCTCCAAGAACATGATGCAGCGCCCAGTCCGCAAGTCCCACACTCGACCGAAAGCATCCAGCCCTCTGGGGGAATGAGGCAGAGTGGTCAGGGGCTGTGAGGGTGGTGGGCAAAGGACTTTGGGATTTCTAGTTAGCTGGGACAGCTGAAGGCTATCAAATCTCACGCTCAACTTCATTATGTGAAGTAGCGCAGGCATACTGGCCCGAAACCACACTGATTGCATCTATCTTGAATTTCACTGAACAACATGTGATGTTTTCTCCAAACGTATTTAATCGGGCGGCTAAATTCTAGGGCACAAGCACAACCTGGCAACCTGTTTGGGAACCTGGCAACCCAAAGACAAAACCACAGATCTGGAATCACAGTCACTACTCTCTGGGATCAACATGACGAACATAATGATTGGAGGTCATGCATGCTGTTCTATGAAGTAAGATCTCGAATTTAAAAACCGCAGTCATTGGGCTCTTTCCAAATAAGCCACAATATCTGGTAAGACTGATTTTATGCATCAGAATTGAACAGTGGCGAGGGGGGGGGGGATCATACCCAGTTGCAGCCAAAGAGCCATCAGGGTGGAAGTGTAGGTCATGCACCCCCTTGCTGTGGCCCTCCTGATGTAGGATCTCCTCCTGGGCTTCAAGGTCCCACAATCTCCACGAGTGATCGTAGCTGGTTGGACAGAGATGGTCATCGGTGAGAGCTACTCTTCACCTCTATAACCACTAGAGACCATAGGTGACAAGGTTTAAAAAGACAAAACAAAGCCACGGTAACTAACCGCAACACTGGAGGGGTTAATGAAAACAATTAAAATAATGTAAAGTTTAGGGCTGCCGCTAATGACTATTTTTCTATACATTAATCTATTGACTATTTTATCAAATGGTCTATTATTCTACATGATTAATTAACCTCTGGAAAATCATTGACCGTTTTAAGTTAATTTTATTTTGACAACAACAAAAAAAACTGTATGCCATTGCAGGGCTTTAGATTATGCACGCGTCAATTTTTCAGCAATATATGAATCATTATTTTCAGCCACAGTTCGACAAGCACATTAGTAGTATACCTAAGAGTATTAATGAGATGTGTATTGTGATGCCCAAAAGTTAGTAATCTGTATAAATTCGGTTATCGGAGCCACATCCGACATAAGCGATAAGCACTGAAGTCACAATGAAGGAAGGGACAGATCAGCAGCCAGAACATCTTTTAAAAGAGTGGTTACTGTGGTTAAACAAGGTAAAAAGAAGTTGGTGGCACTTTTTGCATATTATTTTTTTGTATATTTAGCATCTACAAGGACAAAAGGTATTAAAAAGCTCTCCGTACTCATGGTCATTTAATAAACATGAATAGACAACATGGTGGTTTTGCCTTTTCTGCTGGTCTAGAGAAAACCTGTGTGTTTTCCTCCCGGTGCTCATGCACAACGCCAAGACCATCCTGATACGCCATCGCACTTTGCACAGTGTAAAGCCACCTTTCTATTTTGTAATATAATTTGAAGTACTCCCACAATTACATAGTGGTATTGAAGGAAACCATTTGTTATAATGAATTGAAGTGCTTTACAAACCATAAAGATAATTTTATTAGAATAATTTAAAAATACGATGCGTTGATTTAAAACGCTGATGTCGATGCATTTTCAGCGTCGATGCCATCGACTAATCGTGGCAGCCCGAGAAAAGTTATCTATTCACAGCAACTTAGATGCTTCCTTCATACTATAGAAAATGAAAGACAGGTGCTGGCCTTCATACTGAAGAAATACACCAAGAAAAGTTTTACTAATGTGGCAGCAGCCTTTGAATGTCTAAATAACTCTAAACACAATAGTTAGAGAAAAACAGTCATTTCATACCTGCCTTTAAGAATTACCAGAATGCACCAACAATAATTCCTCCCTTTTAAGCTATTCAGTGCCACTGCGTTCTCATATAGGCAATTAATTATGTTTAAATGCATCAATGTTCTCATTTACCATGTAGTCCCCAGAAAGCGTCCAGACGGGTGCCAGGCCACACGGGACACCCTCATCGAGTGCCCTTCAATGTCTGCCACGGGTTCATCACTGCAGACAGGGGGCAGCAGAGAGCACAAATCACAACAAGCAAACCTAATACACCCTGTACTTGGGAAGAGTGTCACATATACAATACTGTGCAGAACTCCTAAGCAGCCAAAGAAAATGTTGTTTAAATGATCTCTATGTTGGTGTAAAACTATAATATTATGCCTGTCAAAGTGTGTTAGCTTAGTCATTTCAAAACCTCTGCTAAAATCACTCCATTATTTCCAGCAACTATTCAATACACCCATGTATTTTTGACTCAACCACTAACACACCTTGTACAGCTAGCTGACTTTTTAAACTAATTAAATGAAGTGAGCAGGTGGTGAAATTTAATAGATACATGGAACGGCTGAGGTCTGAGAACTGACGCGGTCTAGACATCCAAGTAGATATCAGTAACATTTTGGAAAACAAAATACTGCATTTACTACTCAGATAAATGGATTTAAACATTTCTTTTGACTGCCTAAGACTTTTGCCCAGTACACACACACAAATAAATGGTCCATGTGATGCTCAGTATATATAGACAAGACAGTCTGTAGACAAGAGCTTTCGTCTTGTTATTTTTAACAGAAACGGGAGCCGTGATACCTGTCTAGACTCCAAAGTTTGACTGATCCGTCGGCTGCACAGGAAGCCATGTTTACGTCTGATTCGTCCAGTGATATTGTGGCCTGGGGGTGGAAGCTGATGGCCCCCACATTGGTGTTGTGCCCTGAGTGACGGAGAAACCACTATCTGGACTACAATACCCAAAATGGACATATACTCATAGAAAATAAGCACTGCAGTCTAGGGGTGAAGCACTAGTATGGACATAAACATACAGCAGAGGGTTGAGACTCACCTCTCAGAGTGCGAACGAGGCTGCAGTCGGGCACAGCCCACAGTTTGCACAAGCCACTCCTGAACAGGGATGACAGATGAGGCACGATCAGGGAGATTCTCGGGCTGGATCATGACCCTAAATCAGGGATTCCCCAAAATCCAGTCCTGCAGGACCAGTCCGCAACACAGTTGGCAGAATTCCTTGTGCAAACACACCTACTAAACCTGGCAACCAGCTGGTGAGCAGAATAAGGTGTGTTTGAGCAGGGAAATGTGCAAACTGTGTTGCAGACTGGCTTTCTGGGACTGGATTTGGGGAAGCCAGCCCTGAACCATGAAAGCCAAGCAGTAGAGGAGCTTTGCCGTGAAGACAGGACTGTGATGTCACTCACCAGGACGCAGTGACCAGCAGCTTGGAGTTAGGGCTGAACTGACAGTACGAGATCGGCCGGTCATCACCGATCTGGCTACAGAAGTTGTTCAGGTTCTGGCCAAAGGTAAAGCATCGGCAATCAGGAGCAGGCCCAACGGCGAGCCACAGTCACCACCCCCACCGGCTCCGGCACGCAGGGGAATTGTGGGACATTGTGGCTTACCCTCAGCGTCTTGTGGAGTTCCTGCTGACGCACCGTGCGCGTCGATTCGGGAACCTCCTTCAGAGCCCGAGCGTCGTCTAACCGCAGCGTGGCCCTGTGCACAGAGACGAGCGCAGATCAGCGGGCGGAACACCGGGCCGGAGACGGGAAAAAAACGATGGAGGCAGACGGCCACATGGGGGCACTGCGGGGTAACTGAATGGAGAGACATGCCTCTCAGGCACACTAATTCATTCATGTACACCCTGCTACAAGTAAATAAGACAAAGAAGAGTAAAAAACACAAAGAGAGACACAGAAAAGAGAGACAGACAGAGCGAACCCTGAGCTCAAACTGGATTCCTCACACACCCAGGGGGGATTCCTGAACATGCACATCACATCTTACCGGGGCAGGGAATAGCGGGCCAACCAGAGACGGGCTTCCTTCAGTGTGGTGGGGCCCTCATGGTACCAGGTCTGCTGGTACTGGAGGACAAACAGTGGGGGGGGGGGGGGCATGACTGCACTGTGCGGAGCGTGAGCTCCGATCCAACGTGGGTGATCATCAATAGCAGTGAGGAGAAGCAGAGCAGCACAGACACCTACCTCCTCCTGTGAGCGCTTGGCCTTCTCATCTTCCTTCTTAGACTTTTTCAAAGCATCCGGTCCAACCACTGACAGGATATTTCGCAGCCTGGAGATCGAAGAGGACAGTCTGACTAGCTATAGAAGGCAACACATAGGCCCAAATTTCCTTCACAGAAAATCACAGTAATGAAACACAAGATATTCACAACGTTTTGTCAATTAGTACTGATGTTTATTAACCTTCTGGGGACGAGAGCATCGTTGGCGATGCAGCGTATCTTTCTCGTGTATTTCAGTTCATAACTTGCTGAAGTCTTATTGTAGAAACATGAAAAAACGCTGACGTCCATTGTCAGAAGTATTTAGTAATTAGGTTAAATAGGCAAAAAAGTAAACCATGGCACCTTTGTTTTACCTGCATCGGGGGCGTGTAGTACCGCCCTCACATGAAGATTGCTATTTGCATTCTAAATAGCTGCATTACCACATATTCAAATTGATTTCGCATGGTAATCTGATGAACAACGCAGCGGTGAAATGCGATCCAGATACATCCCCTTCAGCGCCATAAAAGGGGGGGGGGGTGTGTCCAGGTGTGAATGGCTCATTCATACACACGAGAGCTCCTACATATTCAATGGAAGGAGCCAGAAATAGTGATACGAGTAAAGTTTTACTTATTTATTTATCCAACTGAAGGTTGCAACTACACCATTTAGTCATCTTCATGTAGCCAAGACTTTGGTGATCAGATATCTGGGATGAAAACAAACTTCCACCATTGCTTACTATGTAGTTTTATAATGTTTCTGCAAGTGTTCCAAACTGCATTTTGCAATGTCTATACCAGGGGTCTCCAACTCCGGTCCTGGAGAGCTACTATCCAGTAGGTTTTCTATCCCACTTGGCATCTGAAGAGCCACACATGCTCCTGGTATTTACCTGAGAACAGCTGTGGCTCATCAGAAGCCGGGTAGGATAGAAAACCTACTGGACGGTAGCTCTCCAGGAGCGGAATTGAAGACCCCTGGTCTATACTTTGATGTCAAATTACAATAAATCTGACATATTTATAATATACATTAAAATTAAGATGTATGTAATGCCAAAACAAATATATGAAATAATTTATTTGCCATGAATTAAGTTTATGATATTGAAAGAAATGTGTGACCATGCCCCAGGTAGTGAAAGTGTGTTCCCTACCCCTAGACCCCAGAGGGTTAAATAAACAATCTGGGCACATGATGGATTAATGGAAAACCCCGATAGATAATGGAAAACACAATAGGTTGGTCACCTTCCTTCCTGACACTCAATCGAACAGGGAGACAAGCAGCTAGAGCAGAGCTGAACCCACTAACCTCTCCCGTCTCTCAGCTGGGCCCTCCCCGAAGATCGTGATTGGCTCCCCCAGAGCCCGCAGGCAGGCCTTGACCTCTGCATCATCAGTGGAGACAGTGATCTGTCGGGCCCTCTTCCTGCGCTCAAACTCTGCCAGCACCTCCGCCTGTCGCTCGCTCACCCGTTCCTCCAGCTCCATGGATTCCCCTGAGAGATCAGAGGGGATCACAGACTGCAGAGTCACCACTGGGAGGCGTCACAAAAGGGAAACATTCTGGACAAATTCCCAGTCAAAATGATTTTGTCTTACAAAATACTGACCAGGACTTGGTCAGGAGGATTTAGATAGATTTTAATAAATTATTTACTGATGACAAGTCTAACATCAAGGCATCCATTTTCCCAGCATGCACAGCATCCAGATAAAGGAAACACAAACCGCTGGAGATGTTGATGTGGCCGGCCTCGATGCCCGCCTTCACTGCGTCACTGGCAGCAGCTCCTCCCTCACGGCCCAGCCGCTCCCGTTCCTTCTCCTCCAGGCTGCCATAGAAGATCCGGGCCTTCTTGGCCACTGGAGTCTCCTCTTCGTCCGACATCTTTATCTTATTTCACAGCCAGATGCGATGGGATCACGCTAGTGGAGACAAACCTATTCAAAAGTACATTTAAAGTAAACCTAATTGAAGGCTGCAAGAACACTACAATAAAACACACAAATGCACTCACACAGCTTGACAGTTAAAAAAACAAAAGCATTCAGAAAATAATATGCATTTACACTTTTCCATTGATAGCTAAAACTGCAAAAAAAAACAAAAAAAAAACAGATTTCATTCTATTCTGATTTCCCACATTCTGGTACTAAAAATTAGAAAGTAATAGGTCAATATTATATCTTGATAACAGTAATAGTAAGTCTATCAAAATATCTAATGTGCCTATCCATCTGAAATGGAGAAACAAGATTAGCTTATACTCAAACCCGCCGTCCCGTTCGTTGGCATACTACATAGTGATTGATTGAGAAATCACATAGCATATATAATAACATGTAATCTTCTTAATATTAAGCATTCAGTGAGTTAATTATTTAACCACTTACGGATTCTGATTTGTGCATGCACGCAAGTACATTACATGAATGGGACATCAGTATAGTGTATAACCGGCCCCTAAATCTACAAGTTAACGAGTTACATTCAGCATGCTATAGCAGCTAATAAGACTTTATCTGAATGACATTCACCAGCAGAGTCCATTCTATATTTAAGGATGAAAGGTTAAGTTATTCGCTCGTTAACCGCTTGGTAGTAGGAAAAGCCAGCAATGAAATTAGCACGTTTTCTTACATAGAGTACACGAAACCGTTTTTTAAGAGTCCTCAGAGCACGCCAATCGACTCGGATAGGCGATGTGGTTATATAATCCGCAACGTACAACATCTAAAATAAACACAAATGGACTGTAACTTTTAAAAAACGAATTAGTAGCACATACCGCTATCAAACGTAACCATGAACGTTCACTCTGAGACTGTTGTGTAATTCTCGCTTGTCGCTCTGATTGCTGCCACCTAGCGTATCGGGGGTCAAACACAGCGCCGCCAGCACAGCAGCGGTTCAGATTTCTAATGACCGGAGACCATCTATGATAGGAGTACTAGAAGCAATGGCATAAATGGGGAGATATGTAAAGAATTTTCATTGCTTTTTAGTTTATTTTTACATGAACTATATTTGTATTACTTCAATAATAGGGCAACGCTTTAAAATATATATTATTTAGGAACCTAGTAAATTCTGTGATTATAAAGGTATTTACTACATACCGTGAAAAAATTTTACTAAAATGTGCCATATTCCCCCCAGCACGACATTAGGTAAAATGTATATGCATAACACACTTCTAAAGGAATGAGATCCGAGAGGTGAAGGTGAGGGAAGGCAGGGCAGCGGGAGAAGAGCAGGTCAGAAAGGTAAAGGTGAGGGGAGTGATGTCAGTGTAATATATCACGGCATTTTTAAAATTATTCCTTCATATATGAAATAAAATACATTCATCGTCTATGAATACCGAACTTTTATTTTGACACAATAAGCGGTGACAGCAACCGGAAGTCTCCCCCTTATTCCTGCCAGCTTCACCCCTGAAGTTCTCCGGCAGTGCTTCACTGGAACGAGCTAACGGAGAAGGGTGAGCTGATTTCTAGATAATTATAATTGTACCTTGGTCAGTCATATAGTCATTCATATGGGAAAAGAGTGGAGAAGAAAATATTAAAGTTATGTGAATCGAATATCTAAATCGTAATACCTTTTTTACGGCTCTGTAACAAGCGAGCGACTTATCCAATGCGGGCATGACAGCATTAGTACAGTTAGTCCGCGCTCTGCTCCCCTTAGTTTCGGATTTTAATAAGCTACTATAATGAGTGGGGTTTTACTGTTTCCATAAATAATAATTGTAAAGTTACTGTATTAATAAGAATGCTTTAGCCAATTTTCAAATAGAGTGAAGCTAGCGGTCTGATGCCTGACGAAATCGAACTAGGATGCCTAGCTGATGGTCGAGTGAAATCGAGGGAAGTACGCGAATGAACGCGAATAATCTACAGGATTTTTTAAAAGCAGATTGCTGTTGGTCAGCTAGACAGCCACAGCTTTTGTAAGGAGCACCCAGTCACATCTGCTGGAAAAGTTATTTATGGTTTTATTACGGATGTTCAAAGAGTATACCTTTACGCAAATTAGATGGGTTTTTAAGATAAGGTATTCGCACTGAATCACCTTTCTGCTATGAAGGTGTGTAGCATAGTGATTTAATAAACGCATTTTACAGTGTGAATTTTCTAACACACCCATCTTAATTCGATGCTTGCTTGCTGTCCTTTCTGGGCGTGAAAAGTAAAGTTTCATTACACAATGCAGTTGCTTGTTATTTCAGTCAAAGCCATAGTTATAATTTATGACATAAGTAATTTCTTGTTTGTCGAAAGTAACTTAATGACTGTCTTTTCTATCTATATTTAGTGGCTGCCCCCTAATTGGACAGTTGAGGAAATTTTTTCACAGCTTCAAGATAACCGGGGGGTGCTGCGTAATCATGCTGCGCCGGAAGCCCACGCGTCTGGAGCTGAAGCTGGATGACATCGATGAGTTTGAAAGCGTGAGGAAAGAGCTGGAGGTGATGCTACGCCCAGACATACTGCCCTGCAGACCCAAATGTGCAGCTAGTTGGGTGGTCTCTGACATGTGTATGTAGTGAGGGCAGTGTGTGGCTTAGGATACAGTGCCTGTGATCGTAAAGTTGCTGGTTCAAATCCCATGGTTGGCAGAGTGATTCACTGTTGAGCCAAATTGCTACAGGGATTGGCTGACCTGCATTTTTGCAAAAATGCATGCCTTTTTGGATACGTCTACTAAATAACTTAAGTGTAACATAATATGGTTTCATTCTAGTGGTTGCATGTCATTGGGATCTCCTTTTCTTTATGTATAAACCTACCTTTTATTCATTGTATTCAGTAGCTTTTAGACTTGACTGTCAAGTTGAAAGTGCAAATTACATATTCATTTCCTTTCCCCTTTACCTCACAGAGCCGGAAAAAACAGCGTGATGAGGTAGATGTAGTGGGCGTGGCTTCGTCGGGTGAAATGGGAGGGGCAACGAGCGGTGGAAGTAGCGACGTGAAGACCCGGGAGCAGATGATCAATGAGCGCATCGGTTACAAACCCCACCCCAAGCCAAACACCTTGCCATCTCTGTTTGGCAACTTGCAGTTTTAAGTGCTTTATGGACACCATTAATGACTGTGACTTTTTCCGGGTCCTGGATTCTGGACTATAAATATTATCAACAGAAGGATGGCTGTTGGTGCTGCTTCCGTTAGTCATTTTATGTTTTTGTTAATTCAGTTGGATTCAAAGTTAGATCAGAATTTGCATAACCAACAATGTAAGTATATATATTATACTGCAGTTTGATATTGCATAGTTTTTACTTAATTTCAATAAAGTGTGTTTTGTCATGTGTGGTTTAATCAGTAACCTGACATGGTCAGAAAACAGATAATGGTCATTTTAAGAAGTGTATATGTACTATAACTAGCCACAATGTAGTCTAGGCTTATGTTGAAATTGCTTTTGCCAATTTGCAAACGATATTTACCTCAAATTCTTGATTCTGTATCAGTTGTGCTAGTTCACACAAGGTGGGCAAAAAAGCTGGTTCCTTTTTCTGGTGATTTATAGTGTCATGCTGCATTGAAATCATGTCGACTGTTAGCCTTGGTTGATATGTACACACTTCAAAAAGTCATTTCATAAACAGGAAGAGGAACAAGAGAGGCCTGACTTTCTGCAATTACTATTCATTTATTACCATTTTTGAGGACAACTGCATTCAAAATTTGCAACACTTCACAAGCACTGCTAAAGTCTCTCTACGTACACCATGAGACTGTCAGTTTAGTTCATCCTTCAATTGTAAATAAACCACAGAGGTAGGAGTTCTATAAGCCTACACTGTTTTCTGAGCGAGTCTCAGTACGTTACTACAAGTGATACACATTCCCGTGAGCAGGAATATTGAAGTTGCTGTCATCTCTACCTCAGTTTCTTCGATAGGAAGGAAAATAAAGCCTCCTGAAAATAAATCAAAACAGGAATATGCTGATCCAACATGACATAACTGTCAGGCAAATATAAAATTAACAGCCGATATTTAAAGACTAAAATATAGAATTATTAAAAGAAAAAAAATACTTTTTGTCCAAGTTCAACTTAAGACAAACAGCTACTACCCTCAATCCCCGCCCACTAAAACTTCCCCAGAATCGAGTACTGGGGGGGTGCAAAGAAGGTCTGTACTGTCCTGGTCCACCTTGAGACTTTAGTGCTCGATTAGATGACACTGCTACAAATAGTGTTCCTAAGTCAGCAAACCCTTCCCTCTAAAATGCCACATAGAGGCCCTTGCGTTGTTTGTCCACAAGCCATGATGTCAGAAGACTGCACCATTATAAGTAAAGCATTTGTCTGAATTAACTGAAGGTAACTGGGATTTGTGCCAATATATGCGCAACACTGGCTCTGAATTGTAGTAAACTGAAGTAATGTATGCTGGCTAAACCCAAACCAAGATTGTCCAGTTAACATCAAAACCGAGGAAAGGCCGAAACAGATCACACCTTACATTACAAGACTGCAACTGCAGTGCGACCACGTTCAAGCGAATTTTAGCATTACACAGATATCAGTACCAATATAAATAATGATCAATTTTTCAGTTCAACTTAGTCAAGGCTGAGTCTTTTGTGGTATAAAAACTCTAGTTTGTCACGCACTGAGGTATGAAATGACAGCTTACACTTTTCAGTCACAAAATACCCAGGCTGACTGCAGCCAACCAAATCCAAGTTTGGAAATCAAACCAATCCCTGTGCTAACTCAACAATGCCCAATGTCTGCTCTAGCACATCAGAGACATATCAGCTGACAAGAGAATAATGAGCCAACTTTCACATTTTTCCTTGCATTGTAACTCAGGTGTATTGGTGGGGGGAGGGGAATTGCCAGTACAGCCTTTACTGGATAGCCAAACCAACCAGGAAATAACCATTGTTACACACAGTGTTTATACTACACTGGTTGTCACACATTCCAGGCAACTACAGTGAGTACAGCTGGTTATGTGTTCCCTTATTTAAGGCATAGGGCTTAGTAAGGCTCATAGTCACTCGTCCCCCATCCCTACAGGGCACAGCACATGGTAAGAATGGGCATGAGCCCAAAAAGCAGTATGGCCTGAAGTCTGAGCGCTTGTTTGGCTGAGGTACATACTCAGATTTAAGAACAATAGATGCAGTAACTATAGTGCTCGACTGTGTAACTGTAAGCCAACAGAAGGTTATGCACTCATTCCCAGGCTATACCATTTCAACAATGCATGGGGGGCGGGGGGTTCAGGAATGGCACATTAGACTCAAGGGGCATGTAGTTTGGCTCTACAGACTTGGAAATGATGGCAGTGCCTTGTTGGCTAGCAGAAGAGAGCCCACTGGAACTCATGAAGGAAAGGCAGGTGGTGTTGAAATTTTGGCCCCCATTCGCAAAGTTGCATTGGGACAGTCCAGATTATGGGCAGACATTACTTTGCGAGAGACAACTTTAAAAACAGCATGGCCTTGATATATTAACAACCAAATCATACGGAACATAGAGCATGCCACGTCAGAGTTAAAATCATTGTATTACGGTCCTTTTTATATTAAAGTGTGGCAAAGCACTGACTTTGCTGGCTGGAATTAAACCGAGGGAAAGACATTGTTTCAAAGTGTGTGTACTTTGTGTTTGCTAAAAAGGGCTCGAGACAGATCAGTGACAATGCTCTGTGATGTCCACCACCACCGCCTTCTTCCAGCTGAACAGGAAGTAGCCGACGCCGGCCCCGGCAGCCACTGCGATGCACAGATAACCATTGAAAGTCATGAAGACCAGCATGAGGAAGTAGCTGACCACCACTTGGATGATGTGCAAAGCCGTCTGCAGCAGGTGGGCTAGACTCAGCATCCGCTGGCTGGGAGAAGGAGGGAGGAGTGGGATTAAGTACATGGCGGTGATCGTACACACACACACACACACATTACACACACACATTACACACACACACACACGCACACACACACGCACACACACACACACACACACACACACACACACACATTCCCTGGTGCAGTTGGGAGGGGGCAAAAATATGGACTGTCTGAGCGTTCCCACAGACTGGGTTCAGAAACACTGGTATTCATAACCATGCTTGGCAAATGAGATGGAGTACAAATGAGTTTTAAATTTAACTGTGACATGTAATTAACTAATCCTAGACAAGAACACAACGCTCTGGAACACCAGGACTTAAAGACGTCCTGTAGCCCCAAGGGGCAGCACACGCACCCCACAGTCTTGTGCGTCTCCATGAGCACGGTACCGTCTGGGCCGGGCACGGGCATGGAGTTGTAGCGCACGCTGACTTGGTTCCGGCGGAGCAGGTATTCCCGGCCAATCTTCAGCCCCTCGTAGAACACGGCCATCAGGAAAATGACGATGCAGGCACCTACCATCCCTGTGGGTGACATCAACAGAGAAGGTCCAACAACACGTTGGGTGTGGATGTTCATCGAGGCTGGAAGTGTTCGTGAGTGAAAACGAGAGAGCCTATGACTTCAAAAAGCTGGAGAGGGAGAAACGAACGACGCGTGAAGTAAAACAAGGTAGAAACCAGGGGCAACGGCTTAATCGTAATAAAAATGCACTGACCTCCAGGGCTGTTGATCACAAGGCCAGAAAATAGGAGCTCCACATTTCTGTAGTCAAAGTAAAAGGTCATTTGCTGCAAAGAAAGAAATTTCAGGTCACCAAAATGCCTTAAAACTCAATCCAGAGCTCCACAGGACCTGTGTAACTTCAAGGATACAATCATTGATGTCCCAAGGCAATATCAAAGATCAGACTCAGGGCCAATCCAGGCAATTTTCTAAAAATAAAAATCGAATGGTTTTGGCTACCACAGTCTGATCCAAAGCCGATCTAGTTAAATCTCCTGTGACCACCCAAATGGCATCAGCTGCGCAGATTGGGGATTACTTTAAATTGGAAACTCAAAGTGGCCCAAGTTACTGTGCCTGCAATGTTTGCAATGCCTTCCTTTCAAAATGAGGTAGCAAGAGTTGTTTAATACAACAAATCTAATTAGGCACTCGCAGAAACATCTTAAGGAGGAATACTGCAAAACCGTGAGGGATACTCGAACGAATAATCCACCGGAGCCTGCTGTATGTGCATCTAGATATTTATTAAAAGATAGGATGGGGATTGGAATCACCAGATTTAAATATTTAATGGATCAGATCACAGTACCAAAACAGGGATCGGGACATCCCTAGATACAATTGTAGGTTTCCTGATCCCTAATCAAAAAAAAAGCACACAAGGGGTGCTTTTCAACATATGAACTTGACCATACTTGTGTGCTCGTGTCCCTGTTTTACATCATCTTCCATTGCCGAAGACCAAATCCAATACTCAAGAACAGAAGTACAGAGGATGGTAAAAATCCCTGGATGTCACTCGTGCCCCAAATATCAAAAATGCATCGGTTGCATCCTCGCCAAACAAAACCAATCCCTTGATTCACTGCATCCCAAGTTCATTCTTGGGAGGCAAGTTAGCCAGACCACTTCTTCCTAACCCACAAGTACAATCTTTGCATTCTTTGTATTGAGAAACCCCTGGTCTACCCGAGCTTGTAAATGTTACACCAGGTTCACCTTAAAGATTCCTCTTACCATCATCATCATCATCTCGTGATTGCCGCCACCACCTTCGCCATGACCACCGCCATGGGAGCCTGTGACTGCAGGAGGCATGGTAGCCATCGAGCCTTGGTGGACATGGTGGCTGTGGTCATGTGACATGCTCATGATGGGATGGACCCTGGCAAATAAAGGAATAAATCATTACATTTCAGCTAATGTTTTGTTCAAACTGAAAATTCACAGGTGTTTGAGGAGCCTTAACAATACTCCAAATTTGAAGTAAGATCACCTTTCATTTATTCACTTGCAAGAACTGGACAACCAGGGTTACAGTGATCCAGAGCCTGTCTGGGTGCGTTCTATGTCAGGGCACCAGCAGAAACAACTTAGAGTCACAGGATTTACCAAGACTATACCAGGAGGAATGTAAACTGCCCATTGAAAATCCATAGTAAGATTCAAACTACATTTTACACATTGGTCCAAAGCGACATACAAGTGAGGCGAATAGCGCATTGCAACAGTACATGCTGTCAAGGAGTCGACTAGGCATAAGTGCAGCTAGGCTGAGCTTCCAGTGACCGCTCAGGTACGAGTGTAGGCGGTTTTGGAGCAGGAGCTACACAACAACTTAAAAAATGAACTAAGACAACTATTCAAGGATCAGAAGGGCAACTTTATCACAAAAATTTATTGATATTGTGACCTTTTTTCAGAAGTACATTGTAATAATAGAGGCATGTAGTGAATTTATGCAAGACATATTTTGTTTTTCCCTCATTTCACAATGGTACCAGTATTTTAACACACACACACACACACACACACACACACACACCACCCTGCGACGGCACAGCCCAGGATGAGAGGATGACATTCACCATGTGGCTCCAAATGTAGCCTCCAGTGTTCATCTCTGATGGACTAAAAGGAGCCCTGATATATAGTTATTCTAGACCAGCGTTTCCCCATCCGGTCCTCAGGGATCCACAGACACTCCACATTTTTGTGGACTATCTGGCAGGGAGCTTGGGGGGGGGGGGGAGCAGAAACGTACAATGCAGTAAGTCAGGGAGGGGGGCATGCACATCCTGGGATGGGACTAATTCAAACGACAAGCACATTCTTTCAGTTCACCTGTGCTGGTCATTATACAAGAGTCAGCTTTGTTAACCACCCCAGCAGTAAATACACCCTAAGCCTGATATGCAGACTGACTGCCAAGCTTTCATGCAACCCGACACCATGTCTTCACCCTGCCGATGCTGAAATGGTCTTCAGTTTTCTTTCTCCCCTGCTGCTTCCCCTTACGCCCACTTCCCCGATTAAAGCCCCCATTCCTCACTTCCACCCCATTGTCACATAGTTCTGTTTATTGTCCCACCCTAAAGGAGTCTTTCACTATGGTGTATAGTGCAGACCCATCACAAGAGTATCTCCTGTGAGCTACCTGTGGGCCAACAAATGGCAACAAGACAAAATAATCTGCTCAGGGCAAGAGTGAGAGAGAGAGAGAGTGTGAGTGAGAGAGTGTGAGTGAGTGAGTGAGTGTGACAGACAGATTTCTTTCTCTATACAAGTAAAGCTTGTGTTGACGGACATTAGGGTGTCAGGCTAATCCCAAGGCCAATTTATACTGGACACGTTTGGTCACCAGTATGACGTGCCAGTCCCGCCACGTCTGTTTTCCGAGGTAAAACCTAACGGAAAGATCCTCCTTAAGGGGTGGCTGGGGTCACCTTTTAGCCAAGATTCTCCAGGCTACTGCAACTCAGACAATATGCTTTTCCGACGACTGTCAATTAAAAAAAATTGCACGTTAGACATTCACGGTTTTACATGCAACCCATATTAAAATGGCTGGATCTTGCATATACATCTTTCTGACATCATATCGTGTCTGTTAAAAGGAGTGATTCAAACTACGGCATCGACACCCTCATTCCACCTCTGTCAGGGTTCGCTTGTCAGCTGATTAACACTCGCTGGTGTTATTTCATTAAACCACTCACTGTCTCTGCACATTCCCGGCATGAAACATTACACCGGAAAGGTCACGGTGACATTAACTGGCAAGCCTGGGGGCACTGTGCTCAATGCTGCTGGAGGCTTGGCTCCATTCCGCACACTAAGATCAGTTATCAGATTCAAACCCAAAGCACACTCAATAATGGTCAGATTAAGCTCCACGACAGACCATTTCTTCTCGATCTCCCTGCCACCAGGGCCATATTCACACAACCGATTGTGTCCAATGATCGTCAGAGACCAGTGCTAATGTAATAGCTCACTACCCTCAGGCCACACGCACCGAGCTTTAATCCGATACAGTCCGACATCAGGCAATTAAACTCCCGGACAAAAAGGGAGGTATTAGAGATCTGAGGCTCTAGGCCAGCCAGGCCACCAAAGATGAGGATCGATGAGGCTGGACAGCAGAGATGAGAAGATAGCCGGCAGGAGGAAAGGAAGCACAACGGAACACTTTACTGGTGTGATCAGCCGCTGGAACTCACTGGCAGGAAAAACAGGTGTGAATATTGGTTTATATATGGTTTTTAAATAATTAAACCTTGTAAGTCATATAGCCTTAAGTCTGCGCTCTGGTACGTGGTTCATACAGGGTTCAGCATTAATGTGCCAAATGATCTGTTGCCCTTCCTGTAGCAGCTGTAGTAGATACTGTAGTGGAGTTTCATCACTGTACTGTTTGTTACCATTAAATGTATTTTGAAATGAGAACGTGCCAGTTTTTGTTTAGAACTAAACCAACACTGAACAGTTCTGAGGAAAATTGTGATAATCTTTCAATCACCAGGCTTTTCTCGATTTGAGTGCAGACAGGAAAAAAAACCAAGAATACCACAGAATGAAAAGAAATGAATACACACTGTGATTCATCAAGACATGTCAGAAATACAACACTAAACCAGAATGCTTTTGAATAAATCCTTCATCAAAGTTTTGATCACTTTCTGCACTTTTAATTACGTTCAGCTTTTAATGCATCAGATACAATGGCGAGATCATTAGAGGATAAACAGCTGTACTCTGATGCAGACCAAAACAAAGTGTTTGAAGTCTTTGAAATGTTAATGCTTCATCTCGAGCTCGCATTCTGTATGCCAGGGGTGCCCCACTCCAGTCCTGGGGGGCCGAAGCCCTGTGTAGCTTAGTTCTTTCCCTGTTCCATCTCAAATGATTCAGCTCAAGAGCTGTGTGGTAATTAGCACAAGAAGCTGAATCAGGTGTGTTAAATGAGGGGAAACCAAAAAATGTGCAGGGCTCTGCCCCCCAGGACTGGAGTTGGGCACCCCTGCTGTATGCTATAAAACAATAAATACAACTCGTGTGAGGCTGGGCTTGCGTCACCAGTGATTAGCAAGGGGTCCTGGCTCAGAAGGTGTCCACATATGTGCCTGTGTGTATGTGCACATACTGTGCTCTGTGTGAGATCCTGCATCCACGCAGGATTGGCTCGTCACAAGACCTCTCTTGTGACTCAGTTTCCCCATTTGATCCAACTCCTGCTGGCCTCCAACCCATAACTCTCCCCCAGTCACTTTTACGGGCCCCTACCTTCCCCTTTACTGCTGTATGCACATGCTTGACCTGATCAGGAAGCCGAGCTAGGAAGTTATAGCTCGAGTCGCAGTGAAGAATATTGGAAATCATGTCACGCAAGAGCAACTTCAAGACTTCTTGGGTTTTTGTACCGCTGACGAATGCGGGATTGCAGTTGATCCAACCAACGGAACTCTGCAAACTGGATCGGAGCTTTTATTAAATCAAACACTTTCTCCCCAAAGTTTACACCATTTACAATGCTTCAGTCTAAAAACCTTTTCGCAGAATGGTAACAAAATTCTGAGGAGGACCGTGATCTGCAGCAAACTCCATCCGGCACAAGGAAACATGCTCTCCTTTCCGCTAGCAGCCCAAGGCGAAGGAGTGTGTCCACACAGCGCTACAGGCAAGAAAACACTCAAAGAAACAGCAGCTAGTGTGGATCCCTAAACACTGATAATCGTGCTGTGCCATTAAGGAGTTCATTAAAGAACCCTTCCTTAAATGTAATAATCCAAAAACAAACAAACAGACAAACAAACCACAGTGAATGAGTCTCTTGTTCCCTGGGGTCTCCCTGTTGCCTCACATTTCCAAGGTTGTTGGTTCAAATCCCACCCCAGCTCATCAGTTCTTCCTTCTTTTAGGATTCCACCAGATACACTGTTCCTACAGTCCAAAAATTTTATGCTTCAGCAAACTGTAGTATTCAAATGTCTAACACGCTTCACAACACACTGCGTCTCATGACAATCAGTTTAACATATTTAACAAGCACACCAGGTATTTTTCTTAATTCTCATTTTGGAACTGCAGATACAGACTGGATAAGGACCTTGAAATCAGAGGTGGAAATTTCAGGTCCAGAAAGTACAAATCCAGACCAGGATTTTGTTTCAACCAACCAGTGGCGTACTCTGTAACTGTGACTCTTTATGCTCAACTGGTTGGTTGAAACTAAATCACCATCTGGATTTGTACTTTCTGAAATACATTAATGTACAACAAAAGAACTTTATGGACAAACTAACATACAGGTGCAACCTCCTAGACTACAAGGAAGTCATCTCCCAGGCTCTCCAGTCAGGAGACAAACATTAAGCATCAACATAACTGAAACCAAACGGAGGACAAACCTCACTCTTCCTCTGCCCGAAACTGAGGAATACCAACACGCTTGCATGGTGGATAATTTACAAGATCAGTCTCTAAAGTAATAACCACAGAAGAGCATGACTTTAAACAAAACATTTCTGGAGAAGAGAGCATATGGCACGATATGAAGAGATCTTATAAAACATGCCTGTGTGTCAGAATTGCCTAATCCCAGACACCCATTAAATTTTCCTCCAGGAAAAAAAATCAATAGAAATGCTTCTTTTTAACGTGACTATTTTAACAGCATTGAAATGTAAACAGAGACACCCACCTGTCAACAAACATTGACAATTCGGCCCGACATGGGTACAAGGTGCACTAGTACAGTACTTTTGCCAACACCTTCAAGCGGCATACAAAACTAAGTCTGTCACGCCCCAAAATGAACATATGACGCTGAAAACAACCGCATAATAAACATGGCTCACGTGCTTGGGGTTTTTGGATGTTTGCTTTGATGACATTGGGGGGGGGGAATCCTACAGCAAACCCCCTTTCAGACCCGGACCATACAATAACGCTGCGATTCGGAGCGGCTTTGAGATGCTGTCACTGCAGCTCCTGCAGGAATGATGTTAACGGTTTGTAACATAAACTATCTTTAGTCATAATCAGGATAACTATCACAGGTATTTATGCTCAGCAACCTTTGTTCTAAACATAACATCCTTCTGATCGACTTTGATACTAAAACAAAAGTCCACTGAGGACTAGATAAGCACATTAACACTTCTGCCCTGGTTGCTTGAGTTTAATGTCGGCAAATCTGTACGCACAGACAGACAGACAGACAGACAGACAGACAGACAGACAGACAGAGACACACACACACACACACACACACAATCTAGATTATAACAACAGATTAAAGGTTAACTGATATATTTCTCCTAATTTTTCACATACATCAACAAAGTGAAAACTAATTATCTAGGAAGCATAAAACTCGCAATTACTGTCCAAAAGACACAACAGTGAGCGATCCCAATGGCCAATGTAAAAACCATTGGCCAACAGTGTAAAGTCAGGAGATCGATCACATAAACGCTCCGAAAACCATGGCAGGTACCATCTAACCATGCGCCTAATGTCCGTCATGCCCCACCAGGTGCTTATCTATTAATGCATCCTCGGAAATGTAATATTCAATTACCCATAAAACTCATTCTCACGACAAATTGCATCAGACAGCAGTGGAGAAGACAGGAGTTTGTCCTTAGCTAGCAGGCTACCGCTGTGCGCTTTGGACAGAGGTCAGAGAGCCGCAGCCACGTACCCCTAAAAGCGATGCGATCCCCGGCGGTTTCCTCAGTGCCTCCAAGACTGGGGGGGGTCACCTGTGATCGTCCTCGCAGATCAACTAGCAATAGAAACCCCCGAGAGATGTTAAGGACACGTTCATTTAAACGGAGAACTCCTGACTCGTCATACACGTTGCAGGCAGCCCGACCAATGATGCGATGAACCCACGCTACCTACCCCCTCGGCGTTTCACTTCCGCCGCTACAAAATGGCAGAGGGGACGGACGAGAGAAAATGTCGCAAGGCGCTTTATCATAAATGCCCCTACGATTCTACAAAATAAGATCGATTGTCTCCAGTATTAAGGTTGGTATTAAACAATTAAACCGCATGTGCAACTCGATAAAAAAAATCCCAGGTCGTTTTGTAGGGTAAGAGTGAATGGCGATATCATCTCTTTTCTGTGACCGCTTTTTCGTTGGGTTTGGGGTCTGTCCCGGGAACTGGGGAGCATGAAGCAGGGGGCACCTTGGCCAGGATGTTAGTCCACAGCATAACCAATCATACAAATCTGTATTTTAATGGAGACCCCTCTTACCCCCCCCCCTGCCAGTCCTTGTGCGACCGCTAGATGGTGCTCTGGAGAAAGCTTCCGGGCCATTCAGATGGCAATAACAAACCTTCCCAACCGGTTTCATGTTGTAGCCCCTTGTAAACCGGATAGTTATAATGACATTCATTCTTCTCACATAGTGAAAACGATGTAAAGAACTCCATTGTATGACTGAAAAAACGAAGCAACATAGAATTTTTACATTAACACAGCACAATCTGACTTGGTGATTTCACCCTGGTTCTACAATAAATCTATAAATATTCCGAAAATCCAATGTCACTGGTATCCCCTAGCTACATTACATAGTTCTTAGCTTTCAGCAGTTATTGCTGACATATTTTTAGGGTTATAAGGCAAGGTTTAGCATAATAATTATTTTCTGACTTTTCAAGGTCAGACTGCAGGATGTTTGGACATTTCGATTATCTGTCTTACGATTGTTTTTGTAATTTTGTCATAAAAGGCTTCAAATTGCAGAACAAGTCAAATAAATCTTTATACCTCTTCAATCTAGATAATTCCTGCACTCTTCTTACCACTTTAAATTCCCCGAATACAGTTAGTGTTGCACATCTTTTGATTTGAATAGTTATCTTGTAGGGTTCTTGCTATTTTTGAAAGGTGTTGTGTAGCTCTTGCTCTAATGCTACCAACATTTGTAACTGACTTCCACTATTTCACATTTGTGTGTGAAACATCTAGTGGAAGAAAATAAATTCCATCTCATTCCCAAATAGTTTCGTCCTATTTTCAATATGGGCAATTAGAGAACACAGGGAAATTGTATCGTTTCAAATAAAAAGGAAGATGATCGTTTCATATAATTTATTCAAAAATCAAACCACCAGAACATTTTCATCACTATGCGGATACAGCAGTTCTCTACAGTGGAATGTGAACTACATAGAAATGACTAAGGACTGAGGACAGGTGTGGGGTTGAAGTAAATGTTTACATTTAAACACTCAGACACTGTGACAAGGAAAGAAAATGCTTCCAAGTCCTTAAGATTTACCAAGAATACAGGAGAATACTGTATCGCGGCATTTATGCAGTTTCATGTGACAATGTAACCAAATTCATTTAATATAGGTTAAAGTAACAGCACTATGCATATCAAGACAAGCATGGCAATAACCCTCACAACAACAATTTATAGTCATACTCCTACCTAGTTACAAGATCAGCGCTGATAGAGACTTCCACTGCACCAAGTCTTGTGTCAAAGTCTACTCATCTGTTGTTTAAAATAATTACCCCACACTGCATGAATTGTTTGATCACACTCACAAGAATCCTTTCAAAACACAATAATGCATCTTATCCTTTATAAAATGAATCATATCTCTGGTGGGTTAACCTCAGTTTTAACTGTGCTGTGGGGACTACAGTTCAAAGCAGGGCGGAGGACACTGCGTCATAAATATTTGCAACAACTTGGTACATCTTACTTAAGTGATCAATGACCTGTATTCCCGTGCAGTGAAAGTCTTTATTTCAGCACCTCCTGATCTGAAAGGATTGTGTTTGGGAGGTGCAGCATTCTATCCTGCCACACGATAGTTGACGTGGATCTCTGGCTTGATGTCGCAGACCATCTTCAGCAGGTTTCCCAGCACTGCCTCTCGGTTCTGCTGGTAGCTCTTCTGGATGCACTCCATCTTGTCGGCGGTCTCCTTGTCGACCTCCACCGCGGAGCTACCATGGGAACCCAGCGCCTGAGAAAGATTGGAAATATGTTCCATTTGCTTAATGGCAAGACTTAGTGGCCGGATCTTTAAGGCCAACTCCTGGTGTGCTGTAACCCAAGAATCTCTGCCATTCTGTCAGTATTGCGTATCTCTATGTTTATTAAATTCCATTTCCTCACCGCAGCCTCTTTCGTCTTGAACTCCTTCTCCCTCTGCAGTCGGTACTGCTCAATCTCGGCCTGCGCCTCCTCCTTGGCCTGCTTCAGCCGGCGGTTCTTACCTGCAGTCAAAGAGGTTTAAAGTCACCACGAAAGGCTGCGGCGGGGTGGTGTGGCAAAGAGGAGCAGCAGGATTTCAGCCACATAAATAAACTGCTCAATTACAACAGTACACGATCTGAATGGCATGGAACATAAATTGGGAATTGGTTTTAAAAATACACCCCTTCAGGGAAAAAAACGGAATAAGAAAAATGAAGAACAAAGCAAACTGCTTGCAATGAGTCAGTATTAGCGTCATCTTACTATGTCTAATAGGAATAAAACTATAAGTGTAGCCATAACACCATATGTAACCTGCACGTGACGTTACATTCATGGGTGTTACACGTTATAGACGTATTCTATGCATGTACTGCTCCTTGATATATTTACCGTATAATACCTAAAAGAAAAAGCCAATAGCAGAAGAGGAATGCTGTTTAATCGTTTGTTATGTGTCCACTTACACAATTGGCAAAATAAACACCGCGCAATGGAGTAAAATTCCAATATCCCGCATTTTCATCTAGACCAAGTCCGACCTACAGTGTAAAATATAAATACCTCTGCGTATTTATTATTTACATCTAAATTTATCGATATTCGTTAACATTTTACCATATAATTCATCATACTTAATGTACTATAACTAACGATTTCTAACACACACGACGGACCACAACGGCTATAATGCATTACCCAAATGAATATAATATTAACAGATGGAATGAACCAATAGAAGTAGTATTTAACAAAGCCGTGTTATAAAAGCCGGATAAACCACGACAAGGTGTGCGGTTATAAAAAAATAAATCAACACCAATTTGGTGCGATGCGGACAGAAAATTTTATCTAGCTAGATGCGGCCCAAACGAAACTTCACCAGGCAGGTTAGCTAATTTTCAGCAGAAGGTCGGATTTTCTGTACTGTACTGTACTGTTGACTAACGCTAACCACCGCCTTCAACATAAGACGTCCATAAATAAATCACATGACATCACTTACAGCAAGACCGTTTAACCGGCAACGTTTATAACAGACATCATTTGCCGCAATAGCAGACATTAGTTAAGCATACAGCCAGGGAAATGCTAGGCAGCGACCCCGGGCCTTAGCAGGCATACGGCGGCTTGGGTGACAGCGACGGGGACACCGGCTAAAGGTGCGCATCCAGGCGCAAACCGCGCTTTGACTTACGCTTCCGGGCTTCCGCGACCTTCTCCGCCGCTCGCTTCTCGGCCTGCAGAAGCTGCTGGATACCTTGCGACTGGCTTGCCATGACTAAACGAACAACACCAGAGAAAAAGGTCTTATTTTAATCGCAGAGGTCGTTCAGCGACGCTGACAGTAGAAACTGTAGTCAGCTGATAGTGGGTCATGTGACTAAGCGTCAGCGCATGCCTGGGGGGGGGGGGGGGGTTATGGGCTTGTCGCCGGTGCCAGGGGGGGGGGGGGGGGAGCATTTTCCTCCCAAACCAGTGCAGCGCAAACCACGCCTCACGGCCGTCTAGTTCGTGGTCTAGGGGCGGGGTTTGCACGGCACCATTAACACCGTTCTCAGGCCCCCTCCGTTTGGGTTGCCGCAGGGGCAGAGAACAATTCAAACTTACTTTTTGTTATAGCTAGGGGAAAAAATGTGTTGTTGTGCACTGTGCAGTTTACTACACAGTGGTCCATTCTGCACTGACATACGTTCTGATATAAATCATGTGTCAAATGCCATGGTAGAGACAGAAGCATGACATACCGTATTGTAGTATCTAACAAAACCGAGGAGCACATCATCAGCTCATGACTGTAATGCATGGAAGGCCAAAAGGGTCAGTAATATTGCAGTGGAGACATGAACCCTGAACTTTTCTAGCTGGGTGCAATCAAGTTTTATTCAGACAGCAAAATGGTGCTTGGGTATATTTTTCAATAAGTCCAAGCATTTTTATGTCTACATTTACAACAGGGTCCAGCGCATCTCTCAATCTACGAAGCTGGAGCAGGGGCACAATGCACAAGAGCAGTGCAAACGGAGAGCAAAACAATGGCCTTTGATATTTAGCTGCATGAGTTCCAGAGCAGTTCACATTGACATTACTGAGCCAATGAACACATCGAGTTGCATCAATCCGTCAGACATTTCTTTGGCATCAGAGGCCCTGCAAAGGAATTGAGATCTAACTGTAGGACCAACTCTATAGGAGCATGTAAGGAATTGGGCAAGGAGAAGAATTCAAAGACATTTAGGTGAACAAGGATCTTCATGGAAGTTTAATCCACCACATGCCTCTAATATGGGTGGCTCTTGGGAGCGGATGAAAATTCCTTGAGTCCATGCCACTCCAGGATAAAATCCGTTTAACTCATGAGGTCTTCTGTACACTAATGGCAGAGGTGTATGCAACTATTAATGCAAAGCCACTTGTTCCATCATCCAGCGACCCAGATTCTGCATTCATACTTTCCCCCTCCATGACTTTTACGCAGAAGACTGGAGTCCTACGCTATCAGGGGATTTTACTGAAAGGGATCTGTACTTAAAGCAATATAGACAAGTACTGGCTAACAAATTCTGGACATGCTGGAGGTGTGAATATCAACCTTACTAACCTTGAAAGGCAGGCAGAAGTGGACAGAGTCTCAGAGATACATAAAAGAGGAAGACCTTGTTTTGCTGAAGGACAAACAAGCTGCAAGCAATGATTGGCCAATGGCTAGGATCATGGGTGCCCTTCCTGGAAGGATGGATGAGTGAGGTTGAATTGAGGACCATGGATCAGGGCAGTGTAAAGACCTTCATTAGACCAGTTACAGAAGTTGTTCTACTTCTTCCAAAGACTGATGGTAAGGAACCACTCAGGCAGTAATTATAAGTAACCTTACAAAGGTCAAATGGTGAGTGTGTTGCTTCCAATGCATTTGTTTATGTGTTATAGTTACAGTTGGGGCTTTTTGAAACATGAGTCATTTAATCACATAAGGTTAGGATCGACGTAATATCCTTTTTTGGTCAGCAGGAAGTGGAAGCTGCTAATGTACAGATTTGTTAATTGAATGCGTGATCTGCCATGAAATGCTAGAGAAGCAATGTCTTGAGGAATCTCATCGTCATTTACACATTTAAGATTCAAGATTCAAGATTCAAGATTCAAGATTCAAAGCGTTTATTATCATATGTACAGAAAAAGTAGTATTTCTCAGTACAATGAAATTCTTACTTTGCTGTCCACTCACAAATGACAGGTTAAATTAAATTACAAGTACAAAGAGCATACTTGAGAAAAATAGTGCAAAAAGAGCTTAAAGTGCAAAGTGACCTGTTGTGCAAATGAGGTAGGTCATGATATGCAAAGTGATCTGTTATGTAAATGAGGTAGGTCGTCTATTTAGGAGTCTGATTGTAGTGGGGAAGAAAGAGTTGTTTAGCCGGGATGTTCTAGATTTCACACTTCTGAACCTTCGTCCCGAGGGCAGGAGTGTGAACAGTCCGTGTTGGGGGTGTGTCGGGTCTTTGAGGATGGAGGCAGCTCTCCTCAGTGCTCTGCGATGGTAAATGCTCTGCAAAGAGGGCAGTGGAGTCCTAATGATCTTCTCCGCAGTTGATAAAGTAAAATTCATTGGTATAGAAAGACAACCTACTGTCTCGCCCTGCTTGTCATACCCTCCTTTCTTCCTCCCAGGGGTGACCACAAAAAGCCACGCCCAGTACTTGTTAGTCTCACCTTTTGTTCCTGCCCTCCTGTTACTCATTCATAGCTGTCAAGGTCGGTGCCCATTTGCTTCTGCCTTATGTGTCTTGTCACTTATTGCAAGCAGGTGTCGCTGGTCAACCTGCACCTCCCCACCCTCCTGTTGTGTAGCTCTAATCCCTAAGGGGTTTTCCTGCTCCCTGGGTTGCTGCGTAGCGTAGTAAATATGTTTGGAGAGCCGACACAATTCAAGGTGTTATAGACAGGCAACAATAGAAGGAATTAGGAAGGGGGCAAATACTTCATCACAGCACTGTATGTTCAAAGAAGTATGATATAGTGCTTTCAAGAATCCTCTTTTCAGACACTGATATATTAATTTTACTTGCATTCTACAATTTTTACAGTGCCCTGCCTCAGAAGGGTCAGGTAGACCAAGGTCAGTGAGATTTGGGGATTGTTCTGAACTTTCATCCCAGTCAGGGAGGCTGGATGGTGTTGAAGGCTATGGAGAAGTCAAAGAGACTCTGGAGCATGTGCATTGTCCACTCCTAAGTGTGCCTGGCAGGCAAACTGCATGAGATCCAGATGGTCATTGAAGAGGGGTTTAAGCTGTTTCAGGACCTGCCTCTCGAAGGACTGTATGATGTGTGAAGTGAGTACAACTGGTCTGGAGTCATTAAGGGAGCTGGAGTGCCCGTTTGTTGGAACAGGGACCACGGAACATGTCTTACAGTGCTGGGGCATCATCTACAGACTCAAGGAGACACAGGTACTGAAGGACCCTGCATCGCTGGTTGGTACGTGGCCTTGCCTGTGTAGAGTTTCCCCAGTTTTTCTTCACCTGGTCAGTGGAGACATACAGACTGGGAGGTGGAGTGGGGATGGATACCGTTTGACGTCCCTAAAAAAGACACCAAAGAGCTGCTCTGTTAGGCTGCTGTGGTGGTGCTGCTGTGTATGAGATACTTACTGTATTTGTGAACTTCCCTGGGGAAATCTCCCCAACTCAGGCTTTAAAATCTATCGTTCGGCAACCAGAGGGTCGCCAGTTCGAGCCCTGGTTCCTCCTGACCCCGTCAAAGTGTCCTTGAGCAAGACACTGAACCCCAAATTGCTCCCGGTGTGCAGGTTGGCAGCATCCACCACCGGTGTATGATTGTGAGTGTGGATGGGTGAATGTGAGGCATGTATTGTAAAGTGCTTTGAGTACTCATAGGAGTAGAAAATACTATAAATATAGTCCATTTACCATTTAAAATCAATGTACTGTAAGCTAACTCTCAGGTTAAGCACAGCACTACATGTGTACATTGTGGGATCACCATTGTATTGGTGACATACTCTAAACCCACATTAAAACAAAGGAAAACACTAGATGTTTTTGTATCAGGAAGTGAAATTGATTTTCAGCTGATTTCTTTTTTGGTGTACATAATTCATTAATGTAGTAATGGAGTCCTGCACATTTTTGGGTTTCCCCTCATTTAACACACCTGACTCAACTTCTTGTGCTTAATTACCACACAGCTGTTGAGCTGAATCATTTGTGGTGGAACAGGGAAAGAACTAAGCTACACAGGGCTCCGGACCCCCAGGACTGGAGTCTGACACCTGTGTTCTAAAGGGTCGCTGACTTAGCAAACCACTAGCAGTTTGTCGACAGTGTGACAACACTGAAAAGAATTTTGATCCCGTGGTCGGCAAAGTAGTCGTTCGACCGCTGGGTCCTTCAGCAAGGCCTTTAACCACAAAAAATGCTCCAGGGGAGACAGGCAAAATGCTGACCCAGTGCTTTGTACCTGTACTCCTGCTTGTACAAATGGCAGCTACATTATCACTATATGACATTGTAAAAACAGCAGCCCATGGAAGTTCATTATAAGTATGTGGCCTGTTCTTATGTAATCTGATTAATGGTAAATGGTACTTTATATATGTAATACTGGCTTTTGTGGTGTCTAATTGGATTTAATTTTTTTATCAGACATTTGTAATATATCTTCTATGTTATCATTTCTGCTGCTCATGTGACCAGGATGAATACGAAATCAATGGCATATGTTGCCGTAAATGTTCCCCTGGTAAGTCACATTATACCTGGACTGAGCCATTCTCATTGGTTTGAAATGTTGGAGGAATTTGGCAGCGTAATCACTGCCCATTTTAATTTCAGGAAGTCGTGTATCCAGACATTGTACAAAGTCAATTACTGGTCACTGCGCTCCGTGTTTGGATTCTACATTCAGCGAAAAACCAAATGCTCTTAATGAGTGCCACCCCTGTACATTCTGTGCTGAAGGTAAGAATATCAGTGACACTAACTCTTTCATCCTGTATAATGTATCCATCTCTATTTTAGGCCTTTTGTACATCTGTCATGGTGACTTTTCGCAATCCTCCACAGATCGTGGTCTGAAGACAGTAAGGGAGTGTACGCCATCTTCAGACACAGTGTGTGGAGTCCTGGAAGGACACTATTGCATTGATCGCTATGGTGAAGGATGCAGGGAAGCCAAAGAACACACAACCTGCCAGCCTGGACAGTCCGTCAGGCCTGGTTTGTGTGAATTTCGCATTTTCTCACCACATTTACTGTAGAAAAAACCCAACACTTTAGTTTGGCTTCTTGAGAATAAATTCTGCATATTAAAGACACTCGTAATGTTTACCTTTCAGGAACAGGATATAATGATACTGTATGTGAGGCCTGCAGTGATCATTCTTATTCCAATGGCTCTTTTACATCCTGCAAACCACATACAGAGTAAGTTTTTATGTAATTCTTATCTTTGTTAAGCAAATATTTTGTTGAAATGTTCTTGTTTTTCTGTTTATTTGAATTACATTTTATCACAATGCAAGGGCGTAGGTTTGGTTTCAGCATTGTTAGGGACCAAACCCCCTGCCCCCACAGTATTGGTAGGGGCTTGTCCCTGCTGTACATGCCCAAATCTACGCCCCTATCATGGTGGATTATAATGTGTATATATTTTTCAGCTGTGCATCCAGAGGACTTGTCACCATTAAATATGGGAACCACTCATCAGATTCGCAATGTGGAGAATGGAGCTGGGTTCCTGTCATTGCAGCTATACTTTTAACAATAATAATAATAATAATAATAATTATTATTATTATTATAATAACAGGAGTACTATTATACATATTCTATAAAAGAATATGTAAATCAAATATGGTAAGTACTTTACCTACATAAGGTTAAATATGAAGCCCAAATAAGTTTATAAATTGTATCAATAAATTTAGACAAATTTAGGATAATACAAAGGACAGCATGAGTAAACACAAAACACATTTTAAATGACCATTTGATTCATTGAAGGGAAGAATTCACCCATATCACCCATGTGACAAAGTAACTGCCCCCCTAAGCTTGATAGCTGATTGTGCTGCATGTATCAGCAACATCTGCAATCAAACACTTGCGCAAGAGATCAGTCTTTGACATCACTGTAGAGAAATTCTTTGTCACAGCACTTCATTTCGAAAAATGATGTAGTGCTTTCAACAATCCTTTTATCAGACAATTTTAATTTAATTTTACTTGCATTCTACAGTTTTTACAGATGTCCGCCTCAGTAGAGTCCGTTAGATCATGGACAATGAGCCTTGGGGATTGTTCTGAGCTTTCATCCCAGTCAGGGAGGCTGGATGGTGTTGAAGGCAATGGAGAATTCAAAGAGACTCTGGAGCATGTGCATTGTCCACTGCTAAGTGTGCCAGGCGGGCAAGCTGCAGGAGATCCAGATGGTCATTGAAGAGGGGTTTAAGCTGTTTCAGGACCTGCCTCTCGAAGGACTGTATGATGTGTGAAGTGAGTACAACTGGTCTGGAGTCATTAAGGGAGCTGGAGTGCCCGTTTGTTGGAACAGGGACCACAGAACATGTCTTACAGTGCTGGGGCATCATCTACAGACTCAAGGAGACACAGGTACTGAAGGACCCTGCATCACTGGTTGGTACGTGGCCTTGCCTGTGTAGTTTCCCCAGTTCTTCTTCACCTGGGCAGTGGAGACAGACTGCGAGGTGGAGTGGGGATGGATACCGTTTGACGTCCCTAAAAGACACCAAATGGCTGCTCTGTTAGGCTGCTGTGGTGGTGCTGCTGGGTGTGAGATACTTACTGAGCTTCCCCAGCAAATCTCCCCAACTCAAAGGCTTTAAAATCAATGTACTGTAAGCTAACTCAGGTTAAGCAGAGCACTTCATGTTTGTATTGTGTGAACACCATTGCATTGGTGACATACTGTAAACTCACATTAAAACGAAGGAAAACACTAGATATTTTTGTACCTGTAAGTGAAATTTTCAGCTGATGTCTTTTTTGCTGTACATAATTCATTAATGTAGTTGTTTTATTTTATTTGTTGAATAGATAATACTATATCTGCCATATTGGTGCAATGTTGTGAGAATCTACTGAATGATTTTTTTTCTTTTGAAAGGTATTAACATGCAATGAAGCATTATACGTTTACATATTACATTGTAAGGAATCCTCTTGCAGTCTTGTTTCTGCAAAACAGTGGTTTAGTGAACAGTAAAAATAATATAATGTAATAAAGTGCTGAAATATACTGCCTATTGAAAGGCAGCTCAGATACAAATGAAGGACAGTTCTTCACCTCCTTTATACCCTCTGCAACTGTGTGTAGGTGTTATAGGTGAATTTCAGTATAAAGGGTGACCTCCTGGAGTGTGAGGATCCTGAGACAGGAATGGGGCAGGACAGAATGGAGACTGTCTGATGATTGTAATTCAGTTACTTCCTTGTCGCCCTTAGTGGTGCTGACTGGAACCCCCATTCTCTCCCTGACTTCCCCCATGATCATGAACTGCTAACACTGTCTGTATTCAAATGATCAACCAAGAACATTGGGGCATCTTTATCACTTTTCCTTACATAATAATACGCATTTGTCACTTTGTGACACTCATGAAAACATTTCAGTTTCTTTGTTTCATCAGCTTGATGTACAGCACGGTGCTGTATAGTTATTTATCATTATTGTATAATTCGTATTATCATGTACTGTATTATTTTCTGACTTGCCTACAAATTTGCACTAAAGTTAAAAAAAGACATCTTTTACAGAATAGGCCGTGCAATACTGCCCCACACAGGCAAAACACACTCATTACAATGGACTCTGAAATTGAGTAAAAGAGCTTCAGGTTTTTGACTGTCCATCCATATGTGTATTACTGTAGGTAGAATGATAGTGTTTTCTTCAAAACCGAGCTACTGAACTAAGATATTTTGTCACAAAATAAAACAGAACCTAAATGATCCGATTTTGGTCATAACTCAATTATGATTTAAAAAAATAGACAATTAGTGTTGCCTTTGTCGGGCAGTATACTATCATACTATCATGACCTCATCCACTCCCAATAAACACACAGTTATATATTAAAAATTGTACATGAATCTAAATATAAATCATTAGGAAATAAATACTACATTAATAACATGAAATGGAATTATTCAAGCAAACGTTTATAAATCATTTTATTGCCCCACTCAGCACTGTACACAAAATGCAAATAATTATTTACACTGGAGTCTTAAACAGTCCATAAAAATATGGGGATGCAGGACCAGTAAATTAATTTGAGTTTACAGCCAGATTAGTCAAATGTAAACAGTTTCGGAGCCTATAAAAAATAGCTTTGAGGGAGAACACCACTCCCAGAGTTATTCTTTCCCCTGTTGGAGGTTTCTTGTCTAAATAAGAGGAAAATCAATGATATATCAGGCATGAAAATGGGAAAGTGGAGGACTGGAATTTGCTAGACCGTTCATGGAGACTGTATTAACCAATAGTCACTCCATCCATTCATGTTCTGTCCCATTAACTTTTATTTGAATATCACCTGCCTCCAGACTTCAGTCCCCCCCCCCCTCCTCGCACCACTAGCCCAACAAAACTCCTCAATTCCCCACAGGCCCTTCTCGCCCCTCAGTGGGAGGATTTTGGCAGTCTGTAGACCCCCGCCGACACGATGAGCTGGTGGTCCCGCACTTTTCTCTGCAGGAAGGCCTGCAGCTCGTTGACGTCCATCTCGGTCACCACCGGCCCGGTGGCTACGAACATGCGCAGCATGGAGTGGATGCGCTCCAAGGTCATGGTCTCCAGGTTGGTGAGCATGGCTTGGATGTAGGCCCAGAAGAGCTGTGGAGGAAGGCAGCGGCGTGGTTAGGGCGTCTCATTTGGCCTGAGACAATTTTTCCCCTGTTATTAATCACCAACAATTTGGAACACTAAAGAGAAGATCACTAAAGAACATGTTGGAGTTCCTCTTGAATCCTTGGTGTTACAAAAAAATGTCTCACTTAAAGGGTAATGCCACCCAGAAACGCTAGTTAGTTTTGTTTGTTTTTCCTCATAATTTTATATCTAAAGGATATTCTATGGTATGCACACTTAACTGGGAAGCACATTTTCCCTGTGGAAATCTCCCCTGCACTGGACAGACACTACTGATCATCTGAAAAGCTCGCAGTCGTGCTCGTCTGACCTGCAGCTTCTCCTCCCTCTGCTCTGACTGCGTGGTGGTGTTGGAGTCGCCTTCTTCATCGCTGTCGATCAGCAGCACGCTCTTCTCAGGCCGCTCGCGAGACGCCCCCACCTCCAGCACGGAGTAGCGCCCCCCGGACTCCTCCCGCAGCACCCCATGCTGCTGCCACAGGGCCAGCTTCCTCCGCACCATCTCCTGGGGCACGCCAAGTGCCCCACTCAGCTCCTCCAGAGACCAGCAGCCTATGGAGGACCAGAGAGGAAGACCCTGTGAGTGCTTCAAAAACCAGAAACCTTAGCCTGCATGACAACAAACAAGATTGAGCTGCACCACAACAGCAGGAAATGACACCATCATAACAGGAAATAGTCATGAGAGACAGGAACAGGAAATAGTCATGAGGATTTGAAGCCTGCAGAATAATTTCTGTATGTTGTCAATTCCTGATTTAACACACATGGGTTAGGACACTGTGCCCATGATGAGATGGTTCCCGAAGGTGGCAGAATGACAAGACCCTTAACCCCCAGCTGCTCTGGGGACTGGCTGTCCCAACCTTGTAAAAATGTCATGGCTTTAGATAAAAGCGTCTGCTAAATAGGTGTCTTTCCAAATACAATATATGTGTGGGTGACTTGTGGAATCCTGCAGTGCACCGGCGCCATTGGGTATAACCTTGGAAGCCCAAAGCAAATACACATACGACCTCAAAGAGCAGAAGTCGATGATGAACATCACAGTAATGACAGTTACACCATCCTGAAGAACCACAAGCTGGCAAGAGCAACCCAAAGAGATGATGGGGGGAACAGAGAAGCAGAAAAGGAAGATAGCAGTTACCAGGAAGATGATAGATATGAGGAAGACAATGGTAATACGATAAAGAGGAGGAGCAAAACAGTGGAGATGCAGATAGGGGGTGGGGGGGCAGGCGGGCAGCGTGGCTGTGGGGGTTGTTGGGAAGCGTGGCTCACTCTTGTCCTGGAAGTGCAGGATGATAGCAGCATGGATGGGCGACACGGACAGGTTGGTCAGGGTTCGGTCTCCCAGCTCCACGTCCAGCGTCACCGAGCCCAGGTGAGGCTTCCAGCTCAGGGTACGCATGGCCTGGGGGAGGGGCGTGTCAGGGGGGGTTAGAGTGAATAACATGAAATGGAACTAGAGACAGCATAAGAACATAAGAACTATACAAATATATAGGCTGTGAAGCCTCAACACAGAGAATGACGTCAGCCAGCAGGGAAGGCGGGGGTAAGTGGGGGGTGGGGTTACGGCCTCACTCCCCCAAGGACAAGCCTCTGCCCATTTGCCAGCTGCAATTCACGTTCTGTCCAGCAGGTGTCACTACTACACAAATTTTACATGATCCAGAGCTTTTGACAATAACTACAAAGACACTCCTGGGTAGGTGTGGAGGCTGGGGCAAAGTCTCAGTTTAACTCATATAATTTATAATAATTCATATTTGCTCTCAGTTGGCTGGTCTGTATTTCCTCTAGATTCTGGAATTCAAGAGTCCCTGTACACAAAGGATTTCAGCATTCTAACTTCCTGCATCCCCCCTCCCCACCTCCGCCCCCCATGCCTGCCTTCAGTTTCTCGTAGCGGTGCGTGTAGGCCTCCATAGCCTGGGACACCAGGGGGGGCAGCTCCATCTTCTCCTCCTTCAGCTGGGGCCAGAACTCAGACGAGAGGATCATGGCGGACAGCGGCACGGCAGGCTGCTCCTCCTCGGGCAGGCGGGACTCCTCCTCGCGGATGTTGGCGTTTATCCGCCTGGAGTCTGCCACATCCTAAGCAGGGGGAGGGGGGGGGACACCAGCTGAGTGTGGGCACGGACTAGGCTAGCCCGGGGTGGCACAGAAGGAGCGTCCCACCTTCAGCATGACCTCGCAGTAGTGCATGTGGGACTCGCCGAACCTCAGCTTCAGCAGCTCTACGTTACGGATCTCCCTGCAAACACATACGGTGTCCCACAAGGGTCAGAACACCCTACACACTCAGGTGATTCAAAAAAAATAAATTAACAAAAGCAAATGTACAGTCACCCCTCCAGATATATAAATTTCACATTTGCAGGTTTGGCTATGAACAATTAAATGGGGATTCTTTTGGAGTTTGCCGAAAGATCGCAAAAACTCACAGGCGACATATAACACAAAAATATATTAACAAGCCTGAACATGACATAGATCACATAAAATCAAACAATATATAAATGTTATTTAAATTCTGCTATAGTAAGTGCATATTATAGCTTTAATATTAAAAGTACTGGCTTAGATAGTCCATGTATCTGTCTTGGCCACCAGCCTCACGTACATGTTAGCTGTCTAAGTGACTGTGGAATCTTGGATTTCTCACAGTAATGTTCAAACTTTTCGGTTAATTTTGAATTTTTAATAATGGACCCAAGTATTATTCATACATTTTCATATTCGCCAGAATCTTCCACCTCTAAATCTTACGAATGTGAAGGGGTGACAGTTGAGTGATATTTTATCCACAAAAAATGCAAGTATGTTAAACCACAACGTGAATCATCACCGAATGATCAGAATTCTCCTTATTGGCCAGGTACACTGTCCTGTACAAGGAACTGATCTTAGCAGTATTGGTGCAGACATTCACAAATATCATAGAACTTAAACTAAGAAAAATTATAAAATATAGAAATAAACGAAAATAATAATGTGCTGTTTTCTATTTTCTAGGGGGGAAATTGTTCGCTGCTCAATAATAACGAGTGTTTCAAAAGTATTTTGACCTCCAGGGTTGTGGGTTCGAATCCCACCTGGCCCTATGTGTGAGGTGGGAATGCTCTCCCCGCCTTCCTGCGCACTTTCTTCCACTACCTGGCCGTGTTGTAGTTGAGCTGGTGCAGCAGCCGGTCTGCCAGGACAGTGCGATATTCGTCGATGAAGATCTCTTTGCTGCCATATATGCTGACGAGCAGGCTGATGATGTCAGAGGAGCGACGCTTAGAGCCAGTCTTGTCTGGAAGGGAAGAGGAAATGAGAGGATTTCTCAAGTGTGTATGCATGGGTGGGCCACAGGGGCACTGGCTCCGCTGGAAGATGATTGGCTGCTGGAGTTCCCACTACTGTGTCACTCAAAACATATCATTGGTTGGTCGCTCTTAATAAATAATGGCCCCTATGACCCCTTAAAAATCCTAGATTCTCCCCACAACAGTGTGTGTTTTGAGGGTATTCATAAATGCTAAACAAACAACCAACTTATAGGTTTTTATATATAATTTTTAAAATATTTTCTGTAACATTGCACGTAACTGGTATGCAAGTATGTACTGCCGATAAACAGCAATACACACATTGATTTCTCGTCATAACAGAGCAACTGCACATAAAATACGTACGCATTTGCATCGCTATGATAGCAAATTGCCACAAGTATCACGTCATTTGACAAATGCGTGCCACTTATGTGCATCCCTGCTGTAATGCCTGTGAAGAACATGTATTACGCATTAAAAATTCTGCATGCACACTGCGATGTTTGGACTGTGGGCTGTTTATTTGTGAGAACAGACAGCAAATTATTCCAACCGTTTTCCACAAGGCATGGCCAGTGAAATGAGTGTCAGGAGCGCGACCCGGCACCCACCCGTGAGGGCGTCAGTGGGGTCGGGCGTCCACTCTTCGGGGTCGCTGCCCTCGTCCTCGCTGTCCTGAGTCTCCAGCGTGACGGGGTCTGCGCGGGACAACTCGTTGGCCAGGTCGCTGCAGCCCTCGGCGTCGCCCGTGAGGCTGCCCACGATCTGCCGCACCGTGTCCTCCCGCGTCCTGCCCACGGCGTGCCGGCAAGCCCAGAGCGGAACTCACAGTCAAATGATCACGCTTTCAGGGGATTATGGGAGCAGACAGAGTTCCAGACTGGCAGACGGTCACACCGTCTCCAGGCTAAGAGGCGCACCTGAGGTACTTGCGGATGGGCTGGCAGGCCACCTGCAGGATGACCATGGAAGGGTCCAGCTCCCGCAGTGCTTTGATGGCCGAGATGTACACAGTGATGATGTCAGAGGTGTGCACCCCTGTGACCGAAACAAACAAAACAAAACGCCACATGATGAACTGAATTCTTAGACTGACCATAAATACTTCCCATCTTTTAAATTGACTACAGAAGCCAGTAAAAAGGTTTGCAATTTGCAAGACCTCTCATGGAGACTATTAACCAATAGGAAATCGGGAAAAATAAGTGAGGACCAATCATACACTGCCTAGTCAAAAACAAAAGGCGGGACATTGTACAACATGATGTCATGTGTCATACTCCTCTGTCTTAATGGAAAGTAGCATCTTAACACATATTTTGCACACATTCACATGCTTAAAAACAGAAACTATTTTGGTGCAACTGTGCATTTTACCCATAATACACTGTTAAGTTTAATCTGGTCATGCAAACCTGACCCTGGTTCTAATGGTCCGCGGTTTCCCTCTCACTGACCTGGGTGAAGCAGACGGGTCTCGAATGCCGACTTCAGCGAGGTCAGGAGCTGCTGCCTCTGATTGGTCCGGTCCAGACAGAACTTGAGATCCTCAATGGCGGGTTTAGACTCAGGAAAATCTAGGTTGGACGGCAATACCGCGTGACTGGGACTGACCCGGCACTCTCTGAATGCCCCCCCGGGTCTGACGCTCACCACGGATGATGCTGAAGAGCTCCTCGATCCGCATGTTGACATAGATCCTGCAGAAGAACTGGTGCATGTGGCACCTCCAGCGCTGCAGCACGGCGTTGCCGGGCTGGGACGCTGCCCCCCCAGCCGGGGTGTCTGAGCCCCCCGCCTCACTCACAAAGACCCTGCTCAGCCAGCCCAGAACCCGCTCCAGCCACTGAGGGAAGGGAACATTTAAGGAAACCTCCCATAAACAACAACATGGACATTTCAACAGAACTACAATAATAACCCATTTTCCCTGTATCTCTTTGCACGGCTCTATAAACAGTGTAACTGTAATGGCATGATTCTAACATTTGCACAGTAGTTAAGGTCCTGGCAGGACGGCCTATAGACCGACCTGAACAAGGTAACTGGGTAACTAAAAGCTGTAAGTGGATCTAGACAAAGGAATCAACCCACTTAAAAGTACTATTTTCATCATCTTTTGTAACCCACAAACCAAGGAGAGCTCAGCCTTTCTCTTTACAAACAACTTTTAATATACCCGGTCTATGACCCATGAAGCCTCATTTTACAGAATTACATCCTTCCCAGCCGGCTTGTCACAGCTACTCCGCTAGCTGGCAGCTGACAGGCCAGGGGGCCCAGGTGCTCTCCTACCTCCTGGAAGTCCGAGAGGAAGGAGCTCTCGTACTCTCCCCGGCAGCGTCGCTCCATCCTCTGCTCGATGAGCCGGTGTAGTATGGCGGTGACTGCCTCTGAGCTCACCCTCTCCAGCAGCTGCAGTCTGGACCTACAGGAGTGGGGGGGGGGAGCTCATGTTGTGTTCCATTTCCCTTGGAAGTCGGAGCTGGGAATGATGTCACACCCGAGTTAAACCCGCTCCGGTACAACAAGCCGGAAAGCCATGTAGCAACACCAGTTCCAGCCAGGTTCATTGTTAGCAATACAAGCTGATAACACATTATGTGGTATTATTGTGCAAACACCATAGCGACACGTCCACAGACAGAGGTTGGACAGTAAGGTCTGTACGACTGATTTAATTAGACACAAAGAAGACATAAGTTCGACTTCAGGGGACACGCAGCGCTCGCCCAGGGCGCGTTTCAGGTGTAAAAAGCAGCAGGCAGACTGACATCCTGCCAGACAGACGCAGCTGAGCAGCAAACTAACCATCATTACCAGAGTAACCAGAAAATAGCACTCCATCGAAAATGAACGAAGGTATATTTGGCATGGCATGATACAGCAAAAATTGTCTAAAACTCATAAATAAAATAAAATATACTATTGGAAGTCAATTTGAATTGAGCTGCCTACTAATCCAATAAACATCCGAAATAAAGCAAATCTATTGAACTTATATTACTTAATATATTGTGAGCAGGTGTTAAGCATAGATACACAGGTATATGAGATGTAAATGTAGACCATCTGCGCACAACACCTGCAGGATCAGCATAAACTGCAGAAGGAAATGTGTTAGCATAATGCACCACTGTCAGGAGGGTCTGCCCCCCCTTTCCCCTTACAGGATGTGGCTGAGCTCCCCCAGCTGCTCCAGTGCCTCCTGGCACCAGCACTGCGATGGCGGCACTGCACACCCTGGGCAAAGCCCCCGCTCCGTGGCCAGGGCCCCCTCTTCCCCGTCTCCCTCCCCCTCGCCCTCCTGGCTCATGTGCACAGAGAAGGTCCGGCTATAGAACTCCAGCACCCGGTCCTGGAGCAGTGCCGAGGGGGAGAAGAGGAGGATGGCACGGATGACGGAAAGGGCCCTCTCGCGGAGTCCATGGGCCCCGGGGCCACAGAGGCCAGCCCGGCCCTCCTCTTGCCAGGCGCCCAGCCGCTCCAAGCCTCCTAAAACACAAGGGGCTGGTCAGTCATCGGCCTGGGATAGAGTAGCCCTGTCGGCTCACACCAAATGCATGTGTCCTGCTGCAAGTTTGATTAGGAAATTTCACTACTGTTTGATTAGATTATATTTTTTACCCAGAGTGACATGCAGGGCTAGCACAAAAAAAAAAATAGAATGCAACAACAGTGCAACTAAGAAAGGAAAATGATGTCAATAAGATGAGACTATCAAGTCCTGATAAAGGGTATGTGATCAGGCATAGCCATCACACTATATACAATACCCGCCCAACGATTAACTGGTAGGGTATACCCCAGCCTTGCACCCTATGCTGTCTGGGATAGGTTCCAGGCCCCCCATGACCCTAACCAGGATAAATGATTGGAAGATGGATGCCGGATATATACAATATGTACCCTGTCACTATAGAAAACCAGAGGCTGACACCCAGGAGACCGCTCACCTAGAAATGGCTCTAGTCGGGCAAGAAGTGTTCTGAAGGCCCCAAGCAACACCCTGGCACGGTCCCTCTCCTCCATCTCATTCTCTGGCTGCTCCAGTCCCGCCCAAAACTCGGGCGCGACAGCAGAGGTCAGGCGCACCTGCATGGTCTCCAGGAGCCAACCCTCCACACACTGAGCCAGGCGATAGCAGCCAAGCATGGCCAGCGCCTCTGCGACAGCCTCCTCTGTCGTGGAGTTGGGGGACAGCGGCGACACCTGGACAGAGGGCGGGGGAAGAAATTGTGGGCAGCGGGTAGGGTGCGAGACCAGGGCAGCGACCTTCTGTTACATCACCCCGCAATATACGTCGCCTGAACTGCCGCGGCAAACAACTAACCGGGATGCTAAATGGGTTCGCACTTACCAAGGCCGCAGTAACGGTATCCCAGGCAGCAGGAAGCTCCCGTGGCATAACATGAGACTGTCCGGAGTTCATACTGGCGATGACAGGTTAGCAAAATATAATAGAAACATTCAGAAGTTGTCTTGCAGAAGACGTGATCATTTAAGAAGGTAGACTAACCCGGCCCAGTAAACGGAACTAAATTCCAGGCTGAACACGTTTATTCACTGGGTTCAGGTTCTGTATACTGATCATTTAATTGTGTGATTATATTCGGCACACAACCGCATCAAGTACAGCTTGTCTTTAAGTTTGCCACGCACCTTGATGACGTCAGTAAGTGTCGCATATAGATGATGCGTTTCTTGTCAGTTGTCGTGGATACTCGGTTTTGAGCTGAATGCTAGGCGGGTAAACTAGTTCTGGACCCGATCATTGAGCGGACAGACCCGGAGGAAACGGGCTAGCTCGTCACCATGACCCAGCAAGGGGCTGCCCTTCAGACTTACAACAACGAGCTTGTGAAGTGTAAGTGACCGTGAAAGTTATTCGCGGATTAACCAGCTTGCTGGATAGTTACGTTGGTTTGCCCGAATGATTAAAACGGTCTGGTACTCAGTGAGATGCCGGGTGCTTACATTGTTAGCTGGTTTTATCTAACTAGCTACTTCGCTACATCAGAACCATCTAGCCTCTTTCGTCTTTAATTACATGCACTTTAAAGCTGTGAACACTTTAAGACAGCCCGGAAACGAGATTTTCGATTAAGAATCACTGTTATGCTTATACAGTTAGCCAAATGATAATTCCTAGAGTTTTTGTAACCCTTCCTGCCTTTATAAAGGCAGCGGTGATTGGGGTGATTAGCTCAGACATCTATCGTAGTTGATGCACCGTAAGCACCGGCTTAAAGCTTCCAGATTTTTGCATTCAGCTTGTACATGTGTCCTATATCATCCTGCGGACAGGCGATTCGCTTTGGTTGCTGGTAGTGGTGTATAATGTTCCCCAAAACCCTTTCGAGTTTGACAGCTGGAAAGAGGCATCGCGGCTGATTGATCTTATTAACCCTCTAAAGATTACTCTGCTCCATTTATAGCCTTGTGTGAGTGTTCTTTTTCCTAAATTGCGTCCCAGACATACGAAATAGAATATGATACATTTATAAATAAAAGGTGAACTGTGTTCTGAGATCCAGAGAGGAATTTTGTTTTTGTGATACTTTTGCTTTTCTGGCCTCATTTAGAAACTTTTTGAATTGACAGATTTGTCAGTTGAGATGGAGTGTTTGTGCATTGCTTCGTCCTCCTGGGGAACTGTTTGACTGTACGCGGGGATGGAGTTTGTCGTGTTAGCACAGACCCTAATGTTAGCTTCTGGAATTCTTAAAATGCCCACAGACTGCAGCCTCAATGTGACTCTAAGGAGAATGTGAACTTTGTGGAAATCTTGCACTGGGCCAGTATAATAATGATGATGATGATGATGATAAGCTGACAGAGCCATGATTCATCTCTCTTTGAGGAGGAGAATATGCTAGAGCAGATACTTCAAGACTTTTTATTGTCATTGTACAGTTGCCTGGACAACGAAATTAGCTGTTAGCTGTTTACTGTGTGTGCTGGGGTACAGCTGTGTGAATGGTTTACATTTCAAATGCCTTCATATATCTGTGCAATAACCAGGGGGAGTAATGACATTTCTGCAGTATAGAAATAATATTTCGTGGCTGACATGATGGGTCGGTGGGCAGCACTGGGGAGTTGAGGGTTCGAATCCTGCTTTTGGTCTGTGGAGTTTGCATTCTCTCTCCGAGTTGTGTTTCCACCGCATACTCTAGTTTCCTCCTATAATCCAACAACACACAGTTAAGATGACTGATGTCACAAAATTGCCCGTAGTGTAGGACTGTTAGTCAATTCATGTCAATAATCGAGTAATCTACAGATTACGATGACAATTCATTGAGTAATATTTTATATAATTTGAGATATATGCGTGTGTGTATGTATGTGTGTGTAAAGTAATTGGGTCTAGGCAGGAACCAACCACTGTAGATTGTGCAGTGGTGGTGTGTGGTGACAGCAATAGCCACTGGGCCACTATGGCTCCTTCGTGCAGCGTTTCATGCGCATTCAACCATCACGTCACAAGAACGTATCTTCAAATGATGATGGCAAGAAGAATTAATAAAAGTTTACTGCAAACGATAAGCATCCAGATACCTGGCCACCTCTTTACATTTTACTTTGATCCGTCTGATCACAGATCACTCTCTTCATTACTAAATAGTTCCTCCTTACAGCGTTACAAGATAAGCCAACATTACAGGGGACAACAGTTCCCTTTCAACATTATCTAGTACAGTCGACCCTTCCACATTAAGGGGATTAGGGGTGCAGGCCGCCGCCATCTGGAAAAACTGCATAAAACATTTTTTGGGCCCCTTTACGAGCAAAGATACAAAAAATTTGAAATAAAAAGATCAGTGCAAAAACACGGTTGGCATCCTCCAAACCAACACTACATATATTTTATTCATTTTTGAGTTGCTAAAAACTTTTGTGTGTCGTCCGCTGGCCTTTGTGTGTCATCTGTGGCTTTCGCGAAACTCCCCAAAAAAATCCCATTTCACTTCTTATGCCGACCCCACGATATATCGAAACTGCTGTGGGGATGTAGAAGGGTGAACTGAATATGTTAAAAAAATGAGCCTGAAGTTTGCATGAGCTTTGCATCTGTCCTCTGAGACAATTGTAATCATTCTCACAAAAGACATTAGTCTTTCGCTAAATGGAAATATTTTGTATTCCTAAGAGACTATATTGAGCGAGAGCGAGTGCTTTGGCCGTCAGTGTCTTCGAGCAGCGTTAGGGAGGCAGACAGCGGTGACAGGGGGGGCCGAGGCCCGTGGGAGAGATCCTCATTAAATGGGAGCATAAAGTAGCAAAGTCACCAGACGGTTGACTTAAAGGTGAGAACTTTGGCTTGGCCGGAATATTAATCTGCCCTGTCGAGGGAGACGGCAGGATGATCGCTTTAGGAGGTCATGCACCCCGGGGGGGGGCGTAGACTGATTTGCATTCAGCCCAGACGTGCTTAACAGGTGTAATGTCCACGAGACGAGCGGTCATGGCATGGCGTGGACTTGCGCAAGGTGAAAACGAAGAGCCCAGCTAAAATGTGTGTGTGTGTGTGTGTGTGTGTGTGTGTATTTGTCTTCCCTTCCTGTGTGTCATTGATATAATCATCACTGAAGCTTCTTGCAGTAGCTGTGTGTCCTTGTCCTTTTAGATTACACGTGACCTCTGGGGCTGGGCTCTTATTAATGTGTGTTTAAGCCTCCTGCTACCTCAGACAGGAATGACCAGAGTCAGCTGGATGCAGCTGGGAGGGTCGCGGAAACACCACCCCCACACGGTTACTCTCCATCCTCTGCTTCCCCCCCCCAGGCATCGAGGAGCTCTGTTCCAAGCGAGAGGAGCTGAACCGGCAGGTGCAGAAGGAGGAGGAAGAGAAGGCACGGCTACAGCACGACATCCGCCTGCTGACGGAGAAGCTGAGCCGCGTCAACGAGAGCCTGGCCCGTCGCCTGGCCGCCCGCGCTGACTTCGACCGCACCATCGCCGAGACAGAGGCCGCCTACATGAAGGTCAGGGGCCGCCCGCGGTGCTCCGTGCCTCAGCCTGATCCCTCACTGTGGGGGTGGAGGGGGGGGGTCACTCACCAGCCGATATCACGGGCAGTGAGGCGGCAGAGGGTGATCTGCAGAGCAAGAACATCTTACTTCGGCCCATTGATTTGTAAGACAAGACGTTAGATGTGGGGAGGGGTGTGGTGGTTAGCACTGTTCCCTCACACCCCTGGGACCAGGGTTTGAGTCTCCGCCATGGCTCTGTGTGTGTGCAGTTCCCCCCCCACAGTCCAAAAACACCCGGAGGCTAATTGGAGCTACCAGATTGTCCATAGGTGTGAATGGTGGGTGAGCATGCCAAGCAATGTGTTGGCACCCCATTCTGGATTATTCCCTGCCTTGGATCTGGACTTCCGCAACCCTGAATAGGACAAGTGGGTACAGAAAATGGATGGATGGATGGATGGATGTTAGTAACAAGCTATGTTTTGGTATGTGGCTCTGTGGGTTAGGCCGGTGTGTCTGTGATCGGGAGGTTGCTGGTTCACACCCCAGTGCCAGCAGGGTGATCTCAGTGTCCAGCCCTTGAGCAAGGCCCCCCCAATTGCTCCAAGAGCTGTCTGACAAATGTCTCTCATTGCGCTTGATTGTAGATGTAGCATAAATGAAAGTCAAGGATGTAAACATCCACTTAGGAGCCAGATGACCAGCGCCATGTCAGTTGTAGGGTTGTGTCAACGGTGACCAGTGACTTGCAAGGTGGCAAATTCGGCTGCGTTACGCAGCCTGCGTGGTACGCCCCTGGCAGTGGGGGCTGGAGGGATGAGCTGCTCCAACCCCCAAGGACAACAGGAAAAAGTCTCCCCGGGTCTGTAATTAAAAACAACAGCGGTGACTCATACATAGCACTCTAACTATGAAGATGTGCTGTAATTAGGCTGCTGTCCTGTTTGGAAGCAGTTGGTGGATCTGCAGAACCTTAACAACGAAAGGCCTCTCTTCTCCGTCAGATCCTGGAGAGCTCCCAGACGCTCCTCACCGTCTTGAAGAAGGAGACGGGAAATCTCAGCAGGATAACCGAGGCCCGTGGGGGGCACAAGGACCACTGACAATCAGCCCCCCTTACTTATGTATCGACTGCCTTGAACTTAATATATTTATATGTTTGATGTTGTCTTATGATCCTTTAATACGTGTTTTAATAAAGTTTTGTTCTATTATGGATGTGGTTTGTGCTTTGAAGACTGGCTGTGGTCATGAGGGAATCTGAGGTGTGAATGATTTTGCGCATCTCTGTGTCTCTACACTTAAAACTCAAAACGACCTTGTCATGTACAGCTTTCTGATTGGTGGGATGACGTTGAAGTAGCCAGTGGCGTTGGAGATTTCTAATGGGCTGAATGATTTGAAATATTGCTACAATAAAGTCTAGCAGCTGGCAGTGACGACGACTTCAGCGTGCATCACGTAGCCCAGACTGGAGAGATTCACCACATTCTAGGCTTCATCAATTTATTTTCTTTTTTCCCCATTTGCATTTCAGTTTTTGACAACCTTTTTCTCATAATCATTTACAAGTATAAATTATTGTATTAGTACATTTATCTGATGCTGACAATTGATTGACAAAGAAAAGGAATACAGTAAAAAAAAATTCCCATATTTTAAAAAAAGTACATTTTGTGTACATGGAGAGACAATGGT